AGTCTGGCTAGGAGCATTTTGAAAAGAGACGGGATATGGCGCCAAAGGTTGATACTTGCCCCCATCTGCTGCGAAGAGGCTGGTCTGATCGGGTAGCAAGTGCCAAAATGTCGGTCAGGGCCTCAAAAGAGCAGTTCCAGTCTCTTCACCCCAAGCCAACCCATAGATCTCTTTTCTTTCATGCAGCCATGAGAACTGGCCTCTTCTTGCCTTAGTCTGTCACACATGGCACGCCACGTGCGCTGGCTCCGCGTAGCTATTTTCAAAGTATGTCTTTCCTACTCGGCGTTTGAGCATAGTCAACACAATGAAGATGCTTGTCGTTGGGACTGGCTGGCGCTCTCTCGTCACACATACTTGCTTTTGCTCGGCTTTTGCGCCCTCATCGGTGGGTTCTTATGTCGCAACACACTTCCCCTTCCGTCTTCGGGTGGATCCTACCTGGCGGCAAGGATCGCGAAGAAATCCTCGCGATCTGATTAGAGGAGAGATGGTGAGCAGGGAGGTGATCGTATGCCGTCTCTAGCAGGGGAGACGGCAAGATGAAATTTCTAGCAGGATCTATAGATGCTAGTTCTAGCGGCATGCTTCTAGCAAGCACTGCAAAAGAATCCGATACCCAAGTCTCATGTACATACACCGACAGTCCAGTGGAGGCCAACCAGGGCCGATCATTCTGATAACAGAGTTTTTTAGTCTTTTTCCTTTTTTCTTTTGGGGTGTTTTGGTGGGAGGCGCTCCTATCCTCATATGCAGTGTTTCGTACATGAAGTGGGCTTCATATGGAAGAACAAAGAACAGAGGCCACTCGCGAGAGCGGGAAGCGGCGCGGAGGGGCGAAGGGGCGAAGGGGCGTGGGTGTATGTGTCTATGTGTCTATGTGTCTGTGTCTATGTTGACCTTTCAACTTCTTCGATCGCCATTGTTTGCCCGGGGCGAAGCATTGGCATAGGCAAGCTCGTGAACGATATCCGGACTGGCAAAGTATACATCTAGGGGAGTGCTAAGTGCTGGTCCTCTTAATTTCGTTTCCTTGCCAGCGCCTTCATTCCCACCTCCGCTCATGAACAGACGGGCTCCGGGGAGAGCCACCGTCAGAAAGGAGAGTGTGTATTTATCCTACGGGTCATTGGCCAAGCCAGGTCATCCCAAGCGGCGGTCGGGTCAGTCCGATGACAGAAACTGCCTCGATGAGCTTTCAGATGTTGAACCCCTCCTCCTCCTCATTGTTTCCGTCGTCATTGTTTTCTTGCGTGTTTTTTCCTCCCAGTTTGCTTGCCTTCGTGCATATCGATGCATAACCCACACGCGCAGCTATCCTACTCTTGATCGTTGCGCCAGGTTGGTCCAGACAGCTTACCCTTTGACGGAGGCTTGCAGAGAAGATACGTAGCCACCGGCTTCGGCGTCGTTCTCCACTAGGCACTGAACCCCATGTTGCTTTTATGCAGCGAAAGCTCAAGGAAGTCGAAAAAGAAGGGCGAGGCTAAAGAAGAAAAAAAAAAAAAGGAACTTGAAGAAAAATACACAAAAAAGTGACCGCAGGGAAAAACCAACAACAGAACGGAAGAAGCAACTTCTTCTAGAAGAGAGGGCTCAGGCATTGCGACGACGAATAGGAAGTAGATGTCGTTCCCGCTCTTGAAATGCCGCCGGCGTCATTGCGGAATCATTCACGAATCCCGAATGGCCTCGCGGGAGCACCCTGGAGAAGTTGGTCCAGCTCATGTGCTCGAGCTAGACATGGTTTCGAGAACGAGAAAGACAGCGCCATCCGGGCAACGTTCCGGACGAACACGTCTCGCTTGCCGGGGCCGCCATTGTTGTTCCAGTCCTAAAAGGGTCCGTTTGACGGGAACTCGGGTTCTCCGACGGGGCACAAGCGGGAACTAAACATTTCGATGCGCGAAATCTCACGCTTAACTGCATCGATGCTGCCGTTGATCTGCGGTAACCCTTGATGACGGAATTCCCGTGAACGACCTCAACCATTGTTGCAAACGGGGGCAGAGGACAAAGGTAGGGTTCAGGAGGCTGTCGCCTCTGCGGGTGGCACAAAGGGGGGACAAACTGCCCGACCAGGTTCCTGGGGTATTGTGCGATATTTGCGCCGAACAACTCGGCAAAAGGGAAGAAAAGAGTGCGTCCCTTAGGGACTTCCCATCACACGCCTCTCTCCAATGCTCGTACCCGGGGTTCCTTCGTTTCTCGCGCTGGCTCAGCAAACTGAAAATGTAATTCCCTTCCTGTCTCTCTACAATGTAATCTTACGGACATGACCAGGGCCGTCAGGCTTTTTGCACTTTCATCCCTCTCGTCTCAGGTTTTCACCCTCTTCCTTCACACACTTTTGTTGACAGGTAGGCGGGGCGGATCTTAGACCTGCCGTTTTCGAGATAAGTGTGTTCTTACACTTTCTCTTCGCATTGTTTCTGCTTCACTCGTCCGCTGTTAACCCGCTATGGGCGGCGGCGGATAACGAGCCTCGGTGCGCTCGAGACTCTCACGTCCGGTCGAGGCCGCGCGAAAAATATGCGGTTGGGTGGTAGTGAATATCTTCAAAATCCTGCGCGCCACTCCAGGAGCGTGTGGCCTCGCCAAGGGGGAGTCGTTGTATCGGCGGCAAAGGTGGTAAATTTGGGGAATTCCACCAGCACCTATCAAGCAGTCCAACCATCATCGAAGACTAGAGGATTTATTGAGGCCCCTTGATTATAAACTCGTGTATGGATGTGATAAGGTATGGGCGGTAGAACCTGAAGAACCTAAAGGATGCTCTGCCTTCAATTAACCTGCCTATCACGCAAGGAGACTCGCCAAGGCAGTCCTAGAGGTTCGCCATTCACCTCATCAAACCCTTATGTTAGACCTGACGAACAGTTGAGCTTCGTTGACGGCGTTCCTCATCGCCCACGTCAAGTCCGGCGACCTTACTTTTTCCGAAGATATTGAGGCGCCATGCTCATGCCACGACAGCTCTGTCATGCACGCGACGACCCTCAAACTCAACAAATAGCGGTAAGGGTACTCGTGGCAGAAAATGTATTCTTGCACTTTCTTCAAGCATGTTCCCCGCTCCATCTCTAGTTGCATCAGCTAGAAATCCGTTTGCAAGTTTCTAGATGCGAGATTTGGGCCGGCGGCCGGCGCCGGGGGGTATATTTCGAGGACACGGCAGGTGAAGGGAAGGGATGGAGTGAAAGAGCTAGAGTGCAGGCCCCCGGGATATTCGCAGCTGAGGCGCTCCACACATGCCGATTCTAAAACTTCGTATCACCCACCAAGAGGCACAGGAGAAAAGGATGAGGGTCCTGGGTTGCGAGCACACCACATAGCCCCATGGTTCTCACCTTCTCACACCCGCGGAAGATGTGCCCAGTCCAGCAGGACTAGGGATAGAGGCGGAAATTCGAAGAGGATGAGAAGCCGGGGCAGCTATAGCCACGATGCTAGTGTGTATTAGGTGACTGTAGCCGCCGTCCCTAGGTCAAGAGACGGGAGGGGAGGATCGCAGCCAACATGCAGGCCTTCAACTATCGACATTACCTGCAGCTTTCGTCGCCACCTGCCGTGACTAGTTCGGCCCGGGGTTCGAGGGCGCCTCCCTGGGAAAATGGATGAGCTCGCTGCCCGTGGGGCATCTGAAGCAAGAAAACCCGTACACAGATTGCGTCAACAAGCTTGCGGATGGACCAGTGAGAAGGCGAGTGGCTTTTCCAGAAGGTACTCCTCATCTTGGTCTCGGTGTGTCACAAGGCACGTAGGGAGATGAGATGTGATGGAGCCAGAGGAGGGGGCGTGGCGGAAGATGAACTAGGTCCTGATTTCAGAAGGCGGGCCTGAAGCTGTATTCTCGAGTTCAGCCACCCACCCTCCTCCTTCTGATGTCCGGGCTCCGACGGGGAGGAAATTGGCATCTCAAAATAGACGGGCGTCGCCCAGTCAAGCCTGTCTCGAACAATTGGATGGGTGCCGCGGCACCAAGCCACCTGATAATGCCAGATGGAGGTAAGGCGCTTGACGGCATGTATGTGCGAGAGAGCCTGGTTCTTGAGAATGCGAAGAACGGAGCCCAAGATGCCACATGGTGTGGTGCGAGATAAGTGCAAGAGGGGAAATTAAACCTGCTGCAACTGTTCATCCCCCTTGTCCCCATGCTGAAGGTGGTCTCATGACATCCGAACTCGCGGATACCTTTGCCTGCGAGGGTTGTAGAGCGCGAACCGAACAAAGACATGATCGGAGACCCTCGGCTCTCCCTCTGACTCAATCCCTCCTTTGCCCTCCAGCGTTTCTTTTCTTTGACGTAGCATTTATGTGGTTCATTCAGAGCTGGGGCACAAATGCTCGTACCCGAGGGCCACAAAGCCATTGTACGAAGTTGGGGCTGAGTGTGAGTCGCAAAGGTGAAGTGAAGTGAAACCCTTTCACTCCCCTGTTGTCTTTCAAGATGCAAGACGGTGAAAGGGAGAGCAAGCTTCGGCCTCTGGGGTCTTCACCGAAGTAGATCACGTGATGGCACCAGCTTAGCTGCAGTCACAACATGAATGCTCCACTGGAGAAGCACCCGGCGTTGTTTCTCAAGAGTTGGGCAAAATAAACGACTGCCTACAGACAGAGTGCTTTTAGATGACTACCGGGGCCGCCAAACGTGAAAGCATTGTTGAAAAGTCAACTCTTAAGGCTGTAGAGATTACCAGCTCCTAGGCTCATCACGGGATCGCTAGGAACCAACGTTTTGCCGTCAGCCCGAGGCGTTCTCGTTATTCTACCAGCCCCTGCCCCTCCCTGCCTCGCTATTCGGGGCTTACGGGGACCAGACAAGAGACAAGGACCCCAAACCCTTCGTTTTGGCAAGAGAAACTGCCAAGATAGTGTAGGGAACTAGATCCTAGACACTACTTGTCCGCGTTCTTGAGGGATATCCGTGGCGTCTGTACCTGGCAGCGAGTTACCCCACTACCCCACCTCACAGAGCTTGCGATAGCTTCAGCAGCATCATGGCCGACATACCACTCTTTGTCGTTTCTGAATACTCCGCCTCCGAGAGGCGCGTCACGCCATCATGGTCCATCTCCGAGTTCAAGGCAAAGATGGAGTCCGTGACTGGTATCCCGCCCGGCTCTCAAAAGCTCACTTACAAGACAGCCACGTCGGAAAAGATGTCAATGGACGTCGCAGACGAGGATGCCACCCTCCTCTCTGCCTTCCCTCTCGCTAAGAACGGAGAGATTCACGTATGCTTTCTTGGTTTACCCTCGCTACCCTCTTCTTCTTTAGCCAGAGCCAAACTGGCAGACTGGCTCCGTGCACAAATGTGGAATCACGCCAGTTAACCAAGCCTGACAGATTACCGATCTTCGCCCGCCATCCGCCCGCCCCAATCTCAACGATACCTCGGGCGTAGAAAAGTACGTAATGTCCGAAGAGGACTACGCGTCAAAGACGGACTCGGTCCTGGCGTGGAAAAAGGCGCAGAAACTCGGGCGTTTCGACCCCAACGCGCCCAGCCATGAACAGGCCAAGATTGCAGGCTATCAACAGGAGATTCGTGAACGCGGAATCGAGGTCGGCAAGCGGTGCCGAGTTGGCCACGAAGACACGCGGAGGGGCGAAATCATGTACGTGGGTGACGTGGCGGAGATACCCGGCGGTCTCGGCGCCTGGATTGGGGTCAAGCTTGACGAGCCGGTAGGCAGGAATGACGGTAGTGTCGGCGGGACGAGGTATTGGGGTCAACCATCGGAAGTAAAGTATGGGGTGTTTGTCAGGCCCGAGAGGATAGAAGTCGGCAACTTTCCGGCGTTGGATGACTTGGAGATGGAAGAGATCTAAGGGGGTAGTCCAGGTGGGCAGGCGACTGAATCAGCCGCGAAGGCGGCCCTTCCTCGAATTCTAAACAGTTCGTCGTCATGGTAGTAGCCACGAACAGCCGTCTGTTCAACATCTCCCTAAAAGAGATGTCTGCGGCTATCATAGCCTCTGATGAGATTCAGAGTGGCTTCTCCAGGAACTCATGAAGGGGCTAAGCAATGCATAGTCCATCCATCACATTATGAGAATGACTACCAGGTTCTTCGTAGAGCTATCTTTGAGACCTCTTTGCCTCACGAAACTCATCGTAAGAGGTTGAAGCATTACATGTACGACTCGATTCCCAGTGGCGATGTTGATAAACCGGGAGGCACGGCGGTATCTTCATCTTCGCTCCCTTATTTCCCTTCGTATATCCTCTTGTTCCTAATCCTGAGGTTGCCTTTCTGGGAAGAATAGATGACAGGTCGACGCTCACTTGTGCGTCTCTTTCTTGATCATACTCCTTCCAAGCGATGGCTCGCTTTCTCGATCCGAAGAGACCAAAGGAGGGAGCATGAAGAAAGCGACCGCGATTCGTTAGCTTTCATTTTCCCAAACTCACAAAACCCCTTTTTCTGTCTAATCTTTTCTGGTTCTTAATGGGCAGCGATAGCGGGTCTAGGGAAAGGCGGCAAACCACTTCACTACAGCGGCTCCGTCAAGCGTAGACACTCTCGGCATAGATAGGTACGCCTAGGGTGCACATTCGGAAACTCGCTATCCGCAAGAACTAGCCTTGCTCGAGAGGTCACTTCTCCCCACCGCATACCGCACTCCTATGACTACTCCTCCTCGCCTCACGCACATCTCCTGCCCAGCGGTGTCCTTTGTTGATAAAAACAAAGAACAGAACCCGGCATGTGAATCAAGGGGAGGCTCCACCGCCTCGGGGATTTCTACGGGGAATATCACTGCACCTCTAGCCTTGACCTTGGCCGGCGGGCATGTTTACACGGAACTGCTAGCATGGACCCGCTCCCCGAGAATGGTCAGCAAGCGGGCGTGCGATCTACCAGGACCTTACGAGAGTGAAGGTGAAGGGGGAGGAAGCGCGGAGACAGCGAGCAGCAGAGAAACAGCGCATCACTCCACAGGGACCGCAAATCAACAACATGTCGGCCAAGACTGAGGGTGAACCGCGTAGGCGGGGGATAACAATGGAAGGAATGAGTAGTTTATGGAGAGCTGTCGGCAGGCGAACCGAAGAGGCAGGGGCTCATGGCCAAGAAGAGGAAATGATTGCCAATTCGACCTACTTGCATCTTGGTTTTGCTCGACGATCCCGTTGGAGATCGCGGCGTTCAAACGTGGGCTGTGTGGGGCTTCACACTCCGGCGCCTATGCAAAAGGGTTTGTGAAATGCGAGGGCGATGAGATGTAGATTTCGTGTTTCCTGTTCACGAAGAGCTATTGTTTATGCGAGAGGGTGAGAGTCAGCAATTGTTGGGCGGCGTTCACGAATGCACCCTTGGACGTGTAGGTTGGACATTGTGAACTCACATTTGACTCGCGAGAAGGGAGGCAGGCCGAGAGGGAATCAAAGAAAGTTTCCCATGCATGCGGCTTATAACCGTAGGCCTAGTGATACGATTGTGTAATATATTCGTGCTGGTCCTACTTTGTAGATTAACGATGAGGTTAAAAGCCAAAGAAAAACCAGCCCGTCGTCTTGGCCCCGCACTACGTCACCTCAACAACCCAAGTACTATAGTCGTGTAAACGCGTACGGCCCGAGCCATTCGCGACGAGTTCACGTTCCTTCCTACGACTACAAGAGAGTCTGTAAAGGATCACAACATTGAAATCTCTACTACAATCCACATGGATTGATGGGGTTTTTGAGAAACTACAAAGTATTACATATTGTACATCTTGTGGTTGAGGTGGAGACGAGTTTGACATTTGAGACGGAGCGAGTGCCGATCGCCAAGGCGCAAAGTGGACGATCAAACAGGCTAGGAAAAGCTCCGAACGGAGCCACCCAGTCAAGGGTCCAAAGGAGATTTTTGGGTTGGGTCCCTTGTGGGTCTCTTGCTTTTGTCATTTTTTGCAGCGCTCAACTCGCTCAACCCTTCCGCTCAATAATACCGGCGACACGTCGTTAGGCTTTCGCTTCAAATGCCTGCAGAACGAGCGCAGACCCGGATTCAGCGTCGATGGGCATATTGATTCGACAGAGATAGCATTGAAGGGACCCAAATCAATCCACCATGGCACGTAATAGGGGCCTGTGGATACATCAATCGATTGTAGATACCGCCGCAGTGCGAGCCTGTCATCGTGTGGCTTGGCCCGGCCCTTGCATATAGCCTTAAACCGAGCTGGTTCGTTCTCCTGCACTCTCTTCAGATCTCTTGATCGTGGGACAATTTTTGCAGCGCGCTCTTGCTCCACTCCGTCAAAATTGTTGGCGATCGTTTGCCTCATCGACGTTGTGACAGCGCCCCAAGCTCGTCAGGCTTTTGTTTGTTTCAGGTTCCCAGCCAAGACAGGAGATCCACTCACGCTGATCGTAGCATCATCACCATTGATGTGAGGAGAAACAGAAACTTGTTCGCTGTTGCCCTGCGCAGTTTTAATCGACAGCAGTGCTCATCATCACCAGCGCATCCATGGGCGCCCAGCGAGTTTCTTGCCTTTGTTCTCGCCTCCAAGGTTAAACTGTTTGTCTGAGAGAAAAAAATCATCTGCTCGCTGTTCAATCAAGGCCTCCCAGGATGTTGAGACAAAGAGGGACACGAACGGCTGGCTGGTCCTCAAAGTGAAAGTGAGGTGTGGCGCAAAGGAAGCAAAATACTGCTGAATTTCCAGGTTCTGTAGCGCCTCGATATGAGGCTTGAACAATCCAGTCTTGACCAGCAACAACAGAATACATGTAATCCAAATTCGTCTCAGCCCAAGTAATCTCGACCAACTCCATGGAAAAATACTGAGCGCTTAATTTTGGTTGGTCCAGTGTTTGCTAAAAACGAAAGAACGAAACGATTCGGGTACTGCCCCGCGACAAAAAAGACGAAAGAAAACAAAGCAATCCCCGCTCCGCTTAAACAGAACAATTGACGTCTCAGAAAAGCACATCCTTCCTTGATGCCATTTCGCCCCTTGCCCAAAGCTTGTTTCGAGTCGGCAATGCTCGCGAGAACAGTGTGGCCCGGCAGAGTCCAGACTCTTTGCTTTCTCCACCCCCTTGGAGTTTCCTACTTCGTAGTTGGGGCTATGCTGCTTTTGTCTTCGTCAGTGGTTGTTCAGCATTCGCAGATCTGGGATCCTCGGCAACAAGGTGCTGTCAACGTCTGAAGAGGAGGCAGATCACTATGCTATAACTCCAAGTGAAGTCTTCGCAGCCATCGGGGGCGCGCACAGGCTCCCTCGAAATTCTAGGAACGGACTACTAGCCTAGAGGGGCAAAGTTACGAGCGTAAATGAAAGTGGATTGATGGTTAGAAGCATGCACCGGTTTGGCCCACGGAACATTCGAAGGTTCCGGCTTCGTTGATGTAACCACTGGCCGGTCGGAAGCGGAACAAGCTTCAGACGACCGAGATGGGTTGAGGTGCAGTGCAGCCATACATCGAGGCCCTAGGAACCAAGAAATGGCGAACAGCGACCAAGCAAGCGACCAGTGTATCATGAAGAATGTTGTATTGCCCTCAAGTGCTCGTCCTCCCGCCGAGGCTAGTGGTGCAACGCTGCACGAGGCTCGGTAAACGCTCTGGCACATTCGAGCACGCTCGAGATGGAGACGGGCTGCATCAAAATTCGCTGGCCCGTTGTCTTTCCGAAGGAGCTGCAGCACAGATGCAACAGGCCCTTCACAGGGGCCAGCAGAACATTTGATTGTTGCTGTTAAAGGTGGCAGCGCCCACCCAGTGCTGACGTACATCGAGTGGGGCAACTACTTGGCGTTCATCCTCGTGGTGTGCCAAGTTGTGTGTCCACCCCGCCACATGTCGACGTACTAGTCGAGCACCACGTCCAGGCGCCTTCATCGATCGAGCATCGAGAATCGCTGGTTGACGACCTGGTGTTAAACTACATGTAGCCAAAAGGGTCAAAAATTTCCCCCATCAGAATGGACCCTTTTACTCGGCTGCTTGTGGGTTCCGACCTAGCCACTGTTCTATGGAGTTTTGATAAGCCTGGCCAATAGCGTAGATAGACTCGAGCATCAAGCTTGGACTATTCCAACTCTATGCTGGGAGGATATCCTTCTCGACTGAACGGACCCCATGATTGGGTCAACTGGTGTTGGCCTGCGAGCTGTAGTGTACAGTGGCCGTTAGGTCTGCATCTCAATTGATTGTTGATAGATCCATCCATTCCATCCACTATTGATCAGTACGGGGCTTGGTTAGAACGGGCTGCTATCAATTGATTTCGATGCTACCCCGAATACTAGTTGAAAGTGCGCTTCTGAACCAACTCATAACCGCCCGCGACCCTTCCTTTCCGTTTGTTTCTTGCCTTGTGGGCTTTGGTTGGGTTAAACCTGGGGTCCCCGATTGATTCAATCATGACATGCATCTCCATGGAATATCCAGGACCAGCTCTAGGTAGTTTTGGCCGCTACCAAACTTACTTCCACATATAATTGCCCGCCTGTGCTGGGTTTCGCATCGTCAAATCCACCGGCGCCTTGCTCATCCCCCTCCTCCCTGACCCTGCTCAACAACCCCTTCTTTCCTGCCTACTCAAAAGGGGGCATTGTGTGTGAGCGTGCGTGCTTGTATCGCGTGCGCGAGTGCGTGCGCAAAAAGGTACGCATACACGGAGTCCCGGTCCCGGGTCTGTCGATCACGATTATCACGCCCACAGAAGCGCACATCCAAACCGGACCCATCCGGACTTGAAATGCAACACTAACCTCGCTCGCCCTTACCCGAAACAACATCGCTCCAGGGCTGTTTTCGCCGAGGCCGTCGACCCTGTACCCTGCTCCCCTGCCATCCCCTCCCTCCTCTTCCCCCATCTACCCCAGGAAGCCACCGCCTCCGCCGCCTTTTTGCCCCGTCGGCTCCTTGGCTCTGTTTGCATTTGTATCCTCTCCCGTCCCGCTCCCACCTTTCCTCCAAGCTCCTCTTTTCCTTCCCTTTCCCCCTCCTCCTTGAAGAATTTTAATTAAAGTTTGCAGACGCAATAATTCCTTCCGCCCAAAATACATCCACCTCTCTTCGTAGTAAGAGGGCGAGAGAGAGGAAAGAGACTGGGAAGAGCAATCGAGCTCATCTTCATCAGCACGACCTGGCGACGTCGACCGTTGCCCGCGCTTCCGCAAGATGGCCTCCAAAATCCTACGATCAACTCTGGCTCTCCTAGCCCCCTCGCGATCATGGCCGACGATGCGAAAATCCGATCACAAACTGAAGTTCCCGACTGGATCAGCAATTCAGCCATGGTCATGAGGTTGTCGACGTTTGGCGGCGGCGAGCTCACCCCTATGATTTCGCCGTTGTTCCTTGACCGCGACCACCGGCCTGAACCAGACTGCCGACGATCGAGGTGTATGTGCCCTTTCTCCCCTTCCTAATCCCCAACCCAATGCACCCCCGAGAAAAACAATCTGAAAGATGGGTTCCCACAAGGATGCATGTCAGGGATGGCCGAAGAGGCGACACTGCGATTTTTCTTTCTTTTGGTGTCAAATTTTCTAACGCATTTCGCAATGTCATCTTAGACCATCCTAATTGAGGGGCACATGATGCTGGTTGACGCGAGCAACTACAGGCAGCCCAGCGAGGGTACTTTCGATGAGATCGCCTACGTCTCCTGCGACGAACCCAGCGGCGGCACCGACCTTACCCAAGATGAGATTGTCAACACGATTATGGCCACCAGCCCCTTGGCTATTGTCCTCTACACCCTGGCCGGCAACGTTTGTGCCCTCGAAGGCGATAACCTCCCTTACGATAGCATCTTCACCCTCATCGACTCAGGCGATGCTGAGCAGGCCCTGAGTTTCCTGAACGCCACCACCGAAGACTCTCCGGTCCATGTTAGCATCTCTGGGAATACCACCCAGGAGACCCCCGACAGCGAGAGCTCGCAGAACGGCAGCAACTCTGCTGTCGCCATGAGCGTGCTTTACAGCATCACTGGCTTGGTGACTGTGCTTTTCCTCGTTATCATTGCCACCGGCACCATTCGTGCTCACCGATACCCCGAACGGTACGGTCCCCGTGGAGGATATGAGGGCCGTCCACGACAGAGCCGCGCCAAGGGAATCGCCCGTGCAGTGCTCGACACCCTGCCCATCATCAAGTTTGGCAGCCCTCCCCTGGCAAGCCGGATCCCGATCTTGAATTCCAAAGCCCTACCCGACAAACCCCAAGGACACCCCGAACACCCCGGGCACCATCCCCGACTGCGCTAGCGAGTTCTACACCTACCGCCACTACAGCCGTCCCCGCGACTCCTGTCCGGACCGAAATCGCCACCCCAAGGAACGCGGGTAGCCAGAACGACGAGCACCTCGGATGCTCCATCTGCACCGACGATTTTGCTGTTGGCGAAGATGTTAGGGTTCTGCCGTGCGACCACAAGTTCCACCCTGCCTGCGTTGACCCGTGGCTAGTGAACGTGTCAGGCACCTGTCCACTATGGTAAGTCACGGCTACGTCCCTCTTTTGTTTTATTCTATTCTCAATCAAGTGCGTTCCGTTCTCTGACTTTTTCTTCTTTCTTAGTCGCCTCGATCTCCGTCCCGAAGGCCAGAAGGAGGATACTGCGCGCGTCGACGAAACTCAGATGCCGCCGCCTCTTGAGTTGGACGAGACCGATGATGACACGGTTTCTGCGACACAGCGGAGCAGGGCTTCCCGATTCTTTGACTTGAGCAGGCTACGACATGCCTCGGCTGAGGAACGCATCCAGGCTCTCAGGCAGTTCCGCCATTCGCAGGCGCCTCCCCTTCCTCCGTCCCCGTGGCCGAAAATGCGGAAGGGACTCGTCGCGTCAAGCTTGCGGACAAGCTGCGCGACAAGTTCCGCATCCGAACCCGACCTCAGTCACGTTAAATCGAAGGCTGAGCTCCAACTCACCCGCGGCGCCCTCTCTCTACCGACCCACAGCACTGGCTGTTGAAGGGAGAGGCATGCCTTTCTATCTTTCTCATCTTCCTTCTCCTTTGGGTCAACGCATCTGCCGATGCGTATTTACATGGCTGCATTTACAGGTTAGGCACGGTTATAATATTCGGTCACTGGGAAACTACATGAACAGAAGTCAGGGTCAGGGACCCTGGCCCCTTTGGGACACCTCTCTTTTTCTTCATCTTTTTATTTCACGGATAGACTTGGCCTTTTTGTTCCACCCCTAAGGCATCATTGCAACTCGACTGCTCGCCAGCTAGTTGCCCTTACACTTTCCCGAATGAGGCTCGGCTCTCGTTTTTACTTTTACTCGTCCTTTTGAAGGACTCCCGGATCGCAAATGTTTTTATTCCTTTCTTAGGACTGTTCGACGGCTCTCATCGTTTTTTATTTTGGTTCGGTTCGGTTTCGGTTCGAAATTTCAGCATGGCACGGCGTTTTACCGGTACACACTCATAGCGACGCCATATCTCCCTGTTTGTCTGTGGCCTCTTTGCCCACCTCCTCGTTCGAAGACGCTTGCTGCTCGGTTTAGCTGAGATTCGCGACCTTCCCCTCTCACTCTCTCTTTCATTCCTTTTGATATTTTTCCTAATCTGGACTACGACCCGAGACGACTGCCTCATTTCCCTCTTTTCTCCCAGCGCACTATTAGGATGGCAGACCCATCGCAGCTGAATGCGGCCCCATGGCTGCACATCGCTTTCCCCATTTTTCCTTTTCAAACCCTGTCTCGTCCCTTGCGTATACATTGCTTGGCTTGAAAGGGGCCTCTTTATTTTGGCCTTTGGCCAACCCTCACTGTGCGCTTGAGTCGCTTATCTTTCTAAGGGCACTTGGCTGGGGCTTCGCCCGAGTTTTGTGCGGTGCGGTCCTTTGCTGACGGCTTGTTGTGAGGACAACAAAAGATCCAGTACCTCGATCAGTACACCCATCCATGGATCTATGGAGAAAGAATAAAACTCTCCATATTGTTCCCAGTGCCGAAGAACCAAGTGGCGCTTGTGGGCACTGGGGCTTGAAGCCAAGGGAGACAAGACGTCACAATGAAAAAAAGAACAAAAAACCCCAGTGCGCAGAAATATACACACATATAGTTAGACAGATCGACTAGTGCAATAAACAAGAGCGAGTATTTGTGCGAATAAAACCTAGAGATCTTCCCAAGAGCGAAACCAAACAACCAAGACAATGGAGATCCTTAGATGCATGCTCCGCCCCATGTGCCCTTTTTTGTTCTGCTGTCGGCTGTATTAGCATGCGTAATCGTCCCTGTTTGACCCTTGGGAGGGAGGCTGTGAGATTCCTCTCCCCTTGAACCCCCTTCTTGACCATGGAATATCGACGTCCGGCCTTTGCCGTGCACACAAGAGACATTAGACCAAAACCGACTGCGCGAGACCTTGACCCGGACCGGACGGGCAGACGTCACCCATTTATTACCGGAAGACAAAACTGCCTCGCGGACCCCTCTGTCTCTAGAGCGCGACAAACGGGCAAAGGTCCGTCCCCCTTTTATTTTTCGAGTTCTCCTTCAGTAGGTCAACTTATTGGCGACAAGCTTATCGCTGTTAACCTCCGCCCATCTCCCCCAACTACAACTAGCGCTGCTGTAAGGGATATATCTAGAGGAATAGATGGGCCGATTGATCCATTCAATCCGTCGCCTTTTTCGTAGCCCATTCTTTTCACTGCCTCCCGGGAACATTTCAAGGCGGGGCTACTGGGCGCGAAGAGAACGCACCAAGCCAACACAGACGCCACTGGGACGTCTCATAAACGTAAGCAACGTTCGGAGACTTGATCGACTCCAAGCGTTTCGCTGGGTTTAGTCAACTCCACCTATGACATCAAATCTCACATAGTCTCACACCCAACTCAAACAGTTGCCATCATATGTAGTCTAGACCAATGTCTCTCATTTGAATTCATAGACTCGTGATAAGTGGCTTTCTAATCCAAGGGCCCCAGGTATACCGCGTTTGCCTAACCTCAGCGAGAAATTGAAAGAAGAAAATTGTAGTGAAAAAGGCGCGTGTCCTATATGAACGAGTGACTTGAAGATAGACAGTGAAGGGTAAAACCAGTCTGCGTACACCGGTGGTCAAAAATAGACCGAAGCACGACGAAATGGGAAGCGAGATTCCCTTTGGAAGGTGAAGAAATGAAGGGGGAAAATGGCTGTGAAGAATATGTACATGAGAAAGTTGGGTATCAATCGCTGAAAGGGCCAAGGCGTATACCGGCCTTTTCCCAAAATCCCTCTAAAGAAGAAAAGAAAAAGAAAGAAAGAAAGTCCGAGTATCCTGTCCTATGCATATCCTCAAAGTAGTTTTGAGGGGAGAAAAAGAGTGTGTACATGAATCGAAGCGTTGCCCAGCCATGAGCGTTTTTGTTTCACTGGTCCCAAGAAGAGGATACGCGTCTAGCCGAAGAAGGCTTGGCCCAGAGAGCTGAGGCTTGTGGACGACGACATCAGGCTGCCGACACTAACCATGAAGTACGAATATCGCTCGAGGAAAGAAAGCTCGCCGTCGAGTCTGCCGAGGTTGTTCTTGAGGAACGCGGCGTTCTCCTGGTCGTTGCCGAGAGGAGCAAACTCAGTAAGCCAGACTGGCTTGTTTCCGCAAATGCTGTGAACCTCGTTGAGATGGTTGATCAAGGATTGAGGATCGCTGGCAGGCGAGTACCAGTGGGCAACGCAGAAGTCAATCTTGCAACCGACACGATCGCAGGCGCTCATGAAGCTCTTGAGCCACCTGGTACCCTGACCGTCAAGGTTGCTGTTGCTTACGGCAGGCGCACCGATGCGAGCACGACCACCATAGGGATTGATGTACTTGACATGGGCAGCGGCGGCGGCCTCGGGAGAGAGGTTGGCTTGCGCGGCGATATCAGGCTCGTTGAAACTCAAGATGTGGGAGGCACCCTCGCTGAGGCTCTTCTCAATGTTGTTCGCCCATCGGTTGGTATGGTCAGCGCGGTCGCCCCAGAGCATGGGAACGAACTCGACGCCACTGGCAAGGCCGTTGCTAACAGAGTCCCAGTTGTAGGCCCAGGAACCCCGGGTTCCGCCGTTGACAAGGTTGTTGACGAGGTTAGCATCATTGTAGGCGAAGCCACGCTTGCCGCCCGATGCGGAGCTGGAAGCGGCATTGTTGACGGCCTGGACGTTGACCGACGCGCCCTGGTTCGATTCGACAGCGACCGGGGTCTCGGCGGCAGCCACGACCTGGGTAGCTAGAGTAGTGGCTTCAGCAGCGACGTTGTTGGCTGGCTGTCCACCATTCTTGTAGACGGTCTTCTGGGTAGGAGACGCCTTCAAGGTGACAGTCTGAGTTTCATAAACCGTCACCCAAGAAGTCGAAGTTGAAGCTTCCTCGGGACGGCTCCACTTGTTCCATCGGCCAATGTTAGCGGCCGAGACGGAGCTGCTCAGGGCAAGGACGGCGGTGGTGATGACCGCAATGCTGTTGGTGGGATGCATTTTGAGTTGAGGCTGTTGTTGCTGTTGCTGTTGTTAGTGGTGTTGTTGTTGTTGGTGTTGCTTGGTTTTGTTCTGCAAATCGAAAGGAATGTAGGTCCGGACCGGAGTGAAAAGATCGAAAGGAAGGTGAGGCTTCGGAAAGGACGAGGCCGGTCGACGAAGAGTATCACTTCAACTACACGAAGAGCCGAGACTTGGTTATAACCCTGTTAAACTTGGGTAACTCTTGAAAATGCGTTGGTACTAGCGCTGTTTTGAGTTGCGGACAGGTGTAAGTGCTGAGGAGGCGGCGATCGCAAATGGGTTCAGTTGAAAAGTGGGATGCTCAGCATCAAAAGACTGTGGGTGTTTGGGAAGGAACGAAAGGGGGTTTGAAAGGAAAGAAAGTGATTCAGAGAATCGGTTAAAACTTTGTTTTTTTGCAGGAAACAGAAACCAGCCGTGGATGCAAGTGAGGGAAGCAATCAAGGAGGGACGGGGAGACTCCCTCTACTTAAATGTGGGAAGAAGGAAGGTGCAGGACCCCCGAGGAGTGTCGAATGCACATGGGAAAGTCACCGAGCCCGCGACAGACAGAATCTACGACAGGAGCCGCCCATCGGGGGACGCTAGAGAATGGGTCCAGTCCCTTTGGCCTCAATGTTGCGAGACCAAGTGAGATGTACAGTTGTCTCAGCCCCATTACTGGCGAGGTACAAACTGGCTAGGGCACCTCGTTTCCAAGTGGCGTTGGCCTGAGTCCTTTTTGCCTCTTTTTCCCCTTCTCGCTTGACCCTCCGCAAGAGCCGTGTAAGCAGGCCGCAGCCAGTCTGCATCGTTCCGGGTATTTGGAGGTTGGGATGGATCAATGTTGATGGATCGAGCGGGTCCCCTGGTACCTGACAAGCATAGTACATCCACTATAAGCTATAGTGGGTGGTACACCCACAATAACACTCACCGACCAGGTACAGTGCAAGGTACGCCAGTAGGAATCAGCGCACACTTGGCACAGGCCCGTCCGAGCATTGGCTGGACCGGGCTTGAGTGAGGACGACGCAGCGCACTTGAGGTGTTGTGGCCTCGATGGAAACAAACGAGAAGAAGTGGGAACGGTGGGAACGATGGTCCGTGCAGGAAACCAACCACTAACAGCAAAGGGGGCCCGGCGCCAACGCAGGAGTCAGGGAGCTTTTAGGGCCAGGCACGGACAAATGATTGGTCCAATTGATGCCCTGAAGCAGAAACATAACTGGACCTGGTGGGTGGCGGACAGCCTGGACTTCCGGATTAGGAAGAAGTGGTTCTCGCCATCGGATGCCCGACCCTTGGCCTGACTTGACTCTACCACAGAAACACGGACGGAGTATTTACTCGGCTCCCATGTGTGGGAGCACATTTTTGAGTGGCCTGGTTAGCGAGCGGCGCGGAGTTGGGCACGAAAGATTTCCCTCCTTCTTACACGTATCCTTCGGCCAGTTTCTTCAAATCACTTCCCCGGCCATAAAGCGGCATGCCAGCTCATCAAGAGGCGTCGGGCAAGTCAAAGGCTTCCATGGAGCTAGCTCAGTCCGGCTTCCCAAGGCGAAGGGCCGGCCTGAGCTGCCACGAAATGGCAACATGTTGCTCAAGGTGGTGACTGGAATTTCTGGCTTGCTTGCGCACATGTAGTGTACGCAGGCTTGCTGGCAGCTGCAGGGGTGGTAAGGGACCCAGCCCTCAACTTAACCACAGCCATTACTCGCTCACCTTCCCCGCCCCTTTCTTCCTTTTGCGCCAGAATCGCACCAGGTGCTTGTCAAATCGGCGCTGACAGTAGTTTGACGCCACTCTCCCGCAGTTGAAACGCTGGTGTCTGCTTGTGCCTGGCCTGGCCGACAGTAGTGGCACTGGCTTTGAAGTTGGCGCCGAGCGGGCGCTGTTCTTTTCCTCAGCCCCCACTTGGCCACGCCAAACCCCTCTTTCCCTCCTTTCTCTTCCTCCCTCTTCCCCTTCTTTTCAAGTAAAACCAATCCTCCCTGTCTAGCCACCAGTGAAATGCATCCCTCAGTTTCTGCTTGGAACGCACTTGGCCACATGTGACGGTCACATTCACCACCTAGGGCGGACTTGTGAAGACCATCGTCGCCCCGATGCCGGGTTTCTGCTTCGGAGCTGGCAAGAGGCATTGTTCCCTGCCTTCCCTCCTTTGACAAGGAAATTTTCTTCTCCTCACCAAATACTTTTCGGGCCCGTTCCAAGTTTCCATCTTTTTCCCCCTTCCTTACCATGTTCCCCTTCCTCTTTGAGCATTTATTGGGAGGCAAATCCAGTCTTTTGAGAGGGATTGTGGATTCCCGGGTTCGCCCTGCAGGAACCGAGAATTCAAGTGGGACAAAGATTCCCGGTCAGGCAGTTTCTTGGTGAGTTGTCAAGAAAGGCCGCGTCTCCTTGGCACTGGTCACAGGGGTATGGAGAAGTCCCGAGCCTCCTGCAGCCCGGAACAGGGATCCCTCCTCAACTTGGAGGCAGCTGGTTGGTTCATCCATGTACTTGAGCCCTTTCCTTCGCTGCCCCTCCCTTACACCAGCTTCCGCCTTCTGGAGCCCTTCGATGTGTTGGCGTCAGCCCAACCAAACTCATACCGGGCGATCAGGTCATCAAGCATGCACACGTAGTAGGACCTGGTGGAGACGAGAATGGGATGTCAAGTTTGACAGGGGTTTTCGGGGAACAGAGAGAAGCGGGGTAGGTCTGACAATCCAGTTTGCGTATTCAGCTCCTTTCAGATGCTGACGGGACAAGAGGAAAGGTAGAGGGATCAAAGCAGACTGTACTTCCTGGACCGATGGCCTTGCCTCATTTCCATCTTCCGTGGCTAAAATATCGGCCAAGAATTTCCGTGGCTGCTGCTGGCACTCAGGCAGCCGTCAATCTCCTTACCGTGTCGCATCTGGGCTCCATGCCTGACCGCTCTACTACGGAATGCATGGTGAAAGGCCGGGAAAAAGGAGAGAAAAGAAGAAAAATCAAGCGAATATTGCAAGGTCCCTACGTGCGCCTTGCAGGTCGCCAATACCTCCGCTGGTTATAGCCACTGGAGGAGAGGATGCACGGGAGGATAGTGCAAGTTGTCGAGCAGATAATTCGCTATCGTGGGGGCTGCTCCCGCCATGCACAGAATTCGTTCATGTATCTTCTCCCCTAAAACCTTTTCCCCTGGCATTCTCACTCCTCACAAAGGCGAGGCGGTCAACACGGAGAGAGAGAAAGAGGGGTTGGTATCTCAGCTTCAGTCCAAGGCATCCCACCAGGCTGGTATTCAGCGCTAGCGGTGGAAGAGGAAACAGGTCAGGGGCTGTCAAGTCGGAAGCTTGAGGCGGGCCCGATGGCACAATTTAACTGTATTGGGCTTAGCGAGGCTCGTGCGATGTGACTTGACCCGCACGTGGCGAGAGCAGGGATCTTACTCACGCAACTCGCAACCGCTCTTCGTCGACAAAATCTCTTCAGTTTTGAATCCAAGATCCCGTCGATGACTCTGCGCCGGAGGGATTCAGACTGAAGGCGCCATCGAACCAAACTCATAGTCGCCGCCGTGTTTACTCACATGGGTTTTGTGGGCCGGAGGAAGGAGCCTGCGCCGCGATTTTTCGAAGTAGTTGTTGTCGCTTTCGGTCAGGGTGGTAGGCCTTAAGGGCAGAAACCCGACCCCCGGTCTTCAATGTTCTCAATGGAAAGCTGAGAAAAAGGCTGACGCCTCCTGGTGGCTGGGTTAGAGACGGAGCGAAAGACCAACCCCACCATCTAACGAGAGAGATGTCTTTTTTCTTCTTCTTTGGTCGATGTTTTAGTCTTCTTTTGGTTCAGTCAATCAGGAACACACAAAGGACGCGATACCCCTGGCTAGTTGGTGCGCAACAAGTTTACGTAGACCCTAGTCCAGTCCTCGAATTGGATTGAGAAGGGGGATGTCTAAATGTTCTCACAGGTGCCACCTTTGCCCAGCCCCTGGTCCAGAAGCCAACACCAAACGTTGCTTTTGTTTATTAGTGGGGTCTTCATCCTGTTTTATTTCCAAGAGACACGTCAGCCATCAAGGATCCAAGACCACATCATGAGAGCTGCATCGCAGCACAGATTATGAACAGTCGGTCCTTGAACCGGCCTTGAAGGCGTCCTCGCCGTGGAGACATATCCAAGGGATGCGAAGAGGGGCAGAATGTGTCCAGATCTTGAGACTGGATCGCACAACATTCGCAACATTGAAAGAGGTGAAGAGGCTAGTCCGGGAGTCCCTTTCGGGGATCGAGCCAAAAGAGACACTCTAAATGGCCTTTTCTTGGCCTTGCATGTATCAACGACTAGAACTACCTTTTCTCGCAAATATTTCGGTCTTCACCTCTTGAACCGCGCCGTCTCTTCACATGGGAAGCGAGTCTCCGGGACGACCGCCCCTTCAACAACCATGGAGGAGTAGCCTTCACAGTGCCACACGAAAGCGTTGCTGTTTCTATCGACGCGCATATCGGAACGCAGCTCGACAGGCCCGCATCCATCTACGATGCAAAAGTCATAGGACTGGAAAGACTGGGTCGCTGGGACGGCAACTGTGGCAATATATTAAAAATATTGGCCGGCTGCTCACCGGAGGAGGAGAGGCCTTCCCTGCCCGGATAAAGCGGGCTCGCGCGGAGTTTTGGTTGGAGGAACTTTTTTCTTTTCTTCATCTTTTTCGTTTTCTCCTCGTGCACTTTCCATACCATACATGTTGATGCTTTGCCATTCCCCCCTTCCTTGCCTTCTTTATCTCCTTCTTTTCATTCCGGGTGCCTGCCTATTTATTTCCGCATCTGCAAAATTCAGGTGGGAGTGCTTCGTTAACAAGATGTGGACTCGCGCCAAGGCTTATCGATATCACTGATGAAGAAGTAAAGGGCGGGAGACGTTGGCGATGAACGGCACATCATTGATTCAGGTACGCGAGGGATCACATGCGCCAACCACATATTGAGGGCTTGAGGAGGAAAGGGAGAACAAAAAGAAGAAGAACAAAAAGAGGGCGGCATTTTAGCCGGGCCCAAAGGACGAAGACGAAGAAAAGGGAGAGCGTAAGAAAGCCAAGAAAGCTACGATTGGATAGCAGGGCAGCGACCACAGCCGTGACTCCACGGGAACCCGAGCACGAGCGAATCGTGGACTCGGGTCTAGAAAAGGTTATATTTATTTTTATATTTCATCTGATATTCTGCCTTTTTGAGCCAGGGCACTCGGCCGACCAAGGGAAACGAAAATTCTTTACCCCCTCTCATCGTCGCGCGTTGCCATGGTCTTTCCGTGCGATGCTTTATTTACGGTTGGTACTTTTTTAATCTACTACCTCGTGCTAACATGATAAACGCACACAGGAACCCAGAGAGGACTAGCTACCACGACTTATTAGATCACGCATCATCTTTCCCTCCACGTTCCTGTAAGTCGATAGATATCGGCACATTGAGGAAACGTGATAGCACGTGTCTATAGTCACGAAAAGGGACAGACAAAAAGGGAGATAAAACCGGGGGCGAAGCGAGTCGGGGAGGGAGAGCCGCGCTGCCACACGGCACGTAGCCAAAGAAGTGCATGTGTCCTCGGCATGTAGGCTGTTGGCTAAATCCCTCTCCTTCTTTCTTCTTTTTCTTTGGGCGGTTGGCACTGCTGTCATCTCGGTCGCTCCGCCACGCTGAGGTCAAGAATACCATGTGCGCTGGGCATCATGACCTTTGCCTGCAAGCCAAATTTGGAACTGAGGTTACTCGCCCATCTTCCACCCGCGGCTGTGGTGAGTCTTGCTTATCCGCGCAGGTAAATGAAAAAGGAAGAGGCACGTCTGCGATGCAGTCAGATCGTGGCTCTACTCCGGGATATTTTGTGCCATCAAGGGATGTCCTGACTTCATCTCCCCTCCTTTTTCCAAACCCTTCTGGTTTTCAACGCCGCAACAAGCTTAAACTTCCCGATGGGGAGGGAGCGGCGAGCTAGGCGCACTGTTTGCCGTTGGGTGTTTTGACCAAGGGGAGGGCAAAAAGAAGCAGGGGGAAGCAGCAGAGTTCAAGCCCTCTTCAGAGGGGTAAGTAATCCTGCCATGACTAACTTTAGCCCACAGACCGGAATGTTTGGGGGCGGTCAGTAAGTTGATTCAAATGCAGAGGAAGAAGTAAGCGCAGGAGCAACCGCCCACAAAGGTTCGTAGTGCGGATGATTTAAGGTTGAATCAGGGACACCCTTGATACTTATTTCCCTCGTCCCTGGATCTAAAGCTTACCGCACGAGGACGTGTAACCAGCAAGCACTGCCCCAAAGGGACACCCAAACATGCAAGGCATGGGAGGACTCGACGGATACATTGGGCCAGATCCGCGGCTGGGCCTGACGAGATCCATGCCCTAGTTTGTTCTCGGCCTGCGACACGTTACCATATCTCGCGTGGCTTCTATGGGACTCGTCCTTGCACGAGAAGGCCGTATCCATCCCGAAGCCAAGAGCATGAGATGACGAAAAGTGCGAAGCAAAATATTACGGCACCGCCAAGATGGTGAATGCCACCAAGGCGGGTTCTGAAGAGTTGTGGTCGCTTCACCCATAATTTTGGATAGAGGCTGCGTCAGCCTCTCCGTATTACCTTGAAGATACGCAAGCGCTTTGCACCGTCCAGCCTGGAAACAGTCTCAGCTTCGTCGACACTCCGGGATAAGCCCACATGCACCTTTTCTGATCTGAGGGTTATCCCGAAATATTTGATGTGGAAATGAAAGAATGCGGGAGATGGCGAAGTCGACCATCGTCCATCTTCTTGAGGAGGGTGCTTTCATTCTTGGTCAATCCAATCAGCGGGGCAGGGTTTTGAGGGTCGCCAAGTCTGCCTCGCTGATACACTGTCCGCCCTCTGTGACATTGAAGCCAGTGAAAACGGCAGAGGGTGACAACAAGGCTGACTCCGCCCTGTGAAACTTGACAGAAGTGCAGACTGGCTGCCATATTCCTCGGGGATTTAACGTTAGCATCGAACAGCTCCCCAAACTGTTCACAGCCACTGTGGAAAGGGCCTACCTCAGACTTTGGGGGAGCACAGCATCAATTGCGCTCTTCCGTGGTTGGTGCTTGGGGCAGCAGACCAAAGACCAAGCCAGCATATTCAGGGCCGCTCCCACTAACCCGTCGTGTACATCATGTAGTCATCAAGTGGGTGTCAGGGCAGTCCCCGAGAACCTTATTGGCCCGGTTGCGGCCCCGAAGTTTAAAAGTCGGGGCATAGATGGTCCGGCTCCTTGCTTGGATTACCCCCGCTTTGGCTTGAACGCCCTGTTAGATGCAAAACCAACGTCGAGGGACCGCCAAACAGCCAAACAGGGACTGGAGGCAAGGTAATCGCCTCAAGGGCGTTGGAGAAAACGTGTGGGATCGGAGAGCCATGCCCAGCCACGTGATGCAGAATGGGGTCGGAATGGCTCAATTGAGATGGGGATGGGGCCAGCGTTAAAACCTACGCTGACCTCATGGCCGTTTGGACGACAAGCTGTGTGGATCCAGCTGCGACATCTTGTGCACTCCTTCTCCGTGATTTTCCCCATTTTCCCTTTTCCCCAGGAGACTGGCGACAATTCCTCTAATACTCTCTTCATCTTTGAAGCAAGAAGCTGAGCCTGCAGAAAAAAAAGCATAATAAAAAGAAGGACCAAAGAAAAACAAGGCGCACCCAGGACAGAACAAAGAAATTGCACGCTCGAGGACAGGCGGGAAAACTTGCGCGAACTGGTTTTGAGGGGTTGAACGAATTAGTTCGTGTCCTCAAACAGGGAGGAGGGGTTCGCTGGAGAGCTTGGTTGATTCAAGTGGTCAGTTTGGGGGAAGCAAGGAAGGATTGAGCTCTTCTCGCATCATTCGTGTGGGGAGGCGCCAGGCAACAACTTAACGCACCCAAGTACCACGACCTCCAGCCATCTTGCGGCCGGCAACGCCTCGCCAAATCTCAATCCAGCTCCCCAAAGCCTTTCGAGCGAGACAAAAAGGCTGTGGGCCAATAGTTGAAGGAATCGCGGCACTTACATCACCGCGATCTATTTTTGCACCTCCTTGGTTGTTTGGCTTGCCTCGGTTTCGTTTTTTACCTTTTATTTCTTTTTATTCTCTTCTTCGTTTGTTTCCGGATTCTGCTATCATTTTTTGTTTACCCCTTTTGGTGATTCGCACTATCTCTCTCTCCCTCCCCTCACGCTCGCTTGGCGGAACCAGGACTTCCTTCAAGCTGACGAAACCAGATACGCGTCTCAAGGAAAGGGGGTTACGTCGCTGGAGGATCTTGGGGGCGACAATTGGCGAGAATTTGGGACCACCCCCAACGACAAGCAAAGGCTAGAAGACAAAACGTCACCAGCAAAGACCGGGAACGTGCTTGGCAAGGGGTTTATTAACAAGCAACCGCGGCATCCCTCAAACATCGTCCGGGAATCATGAATTCGATGCAGGAGGTCGGTGACTTTGACTATGGCGCCTTTCTACGAGAGGATGCTATGGATCTAGCACTTCCTTCGGCTGACCGATCCCCGTCCACGCCTCTGGAAGGATCCCCGGGGAGAGCTCGTCCAACGCAGGGAGCATGGAGCTGTCCAAGAAGTCGGCATCGAAGCAGAGGCATGAGAGGAGAGGACATACGAAAAGTCGGCGGGGTTGCTTCAACTGCAAGAGGCGGAGGATCAAGGTACGCGGGCGGAACTCTTTCCCCTCTTTTGTTCCATTCGAGCATGTCCTGAAGAGACTGGGGAACGCGGCTAACATGGTAGCGCTGAGAGAGAGGAAGGGGGCGCTGCCCTCTCCCCTTTCTTGCGGCTTTTTCTCCCTGACTAAAGTGTCAAGAGACGAAGCCAGCTTGCGGACACTGCGTCAAGACGGGGCTCAAGTGCGAGTATCCTGCTCTGCCGCAAATTGTGCACCAACCGCATCACCAGATTCCGCTGTTTAGCTTGCAGGATATGAGGTTCTTCCAGCACTTCCTCCTCAAGTGCTATCCCTCTATGCCGGTCGCAAATGAAGGCGTGTGGACACACGAGATCCCGTGCTTGTCACAAGAGGTACGTTTGTGAGAAATGTTGATTTTACTCTGACCCCATCTTTGAGAAGGTTATGGAGTTTCCGGTGAAGCATTAACTCCTTGGTTGCGGTTCCCTTTTCGCTTCTTCTTTTCATCCGTTTCCCCCTTCGTTTCGCTAACCTATCGATAGCACGAGTACCTGATGCACGCGCTTCTCGGGCTCGCAGCCTCGGACCTGATGCAACAGGATCCGAGCCTCATAACCTTTGCGATGTCGCATCGACTCAAGGCCATTCGAGCGATCAAGAAACGGCTATCGGAGATGTCTCGGACGACTGAGGTGCGGCGAGACGAATCAAACGCTATGGTAGCGACGTGCTTCGCGCTCACCTTCCAGTCAGTGCAGCTCGATGATGGGATGGCCGAGTACATGGCCTTTGTGCGGGGATCCTCATCGTGTCGATGCAGATGTGGATGAAGGGCATGAGCCCCATCTTTACCAACATGATGAGCGACGACGCTGAAGGGGCGTTGGCACCGTTTATGCAGGCCCTGCCGCTCATCCAGACGGAGTGGTCCGATATGGCGTTGGTGGCGATACAGAATCTGAGACCACTGTGCTTTGACGAGGTGGAAATTGAGTATCACGAACTATTACTCGACTGGGTACAGAAGCTGTTTACTTCATCATTTGACGGTACGCTTTTTCCGTTTCCTTTCAGACATCGATATCTCCCGCCTTTCTTCTTTTGTCCCCGATCGTACTAACTCAGACCTCCCTTCTATCACCATAGCATACAAGGCATTACGACATCACTATGGATGGTGGATGATGCTTCCACACGACAAGTTCCGGCGCATCATCGACCCAGCCAACCAGGTGATGATACTCTTGGCAACACATTGGATCGCGCTCAAGCAGATCATGGCATTTATTACCGAGGTAGAAGACATGGCTCGTCAGAAGCGGCCGTCCAACGACAGCGGCAAAGCAGAGCCCATTGACCCGGGCCTCGGGCGCTGGCTCAAATATCTAAATCGACAAGTCGACTATGAGCACCGGTTATACAACACGTGGCCCATGTGGGTGGAGGAGCAACTCGACCGTGACGTTACTTTTTTCGGGAGATCGAGATAGAAGAGGTCGTGATTGCGGTGTCCTACTCCTTTGCTTTCGCCTTTTGCCTGTCAAGACAGGAAATATACTGGATGTAAGGATAGGGATGATTCCCTGGATAGTGTCGAGCGGTCTCGAGCCGTAGATGGACATTCCTAGACCGTCAGCTCCACCGGTTTGAGCGAGTTGGCCATGCGGGCTACTGAGCAATTTTTGAATGACTTGGGGCCCTTCTCCTTCATTTGCGTCTTCTCGCCTTTTTTTATTTGTGTTTTTCCCTTTTCTTCTTCTTGTTCTTGATACCGATCTCAGCTCTCGCGCGTGCCTTGAGAAGGCGCTGCAGTAGTCAATACATTCCCCTCTAATCTTTTCCATTTGACACCGGGGTTGTCGAGATACGCACTGACCGTGATGGGTTTCCATGAGGTCATTCCGAATTGCTGAGACGCTGCCACAACGTCAAGAAAAGGTGTGAAAAGGTGTGCTGGGCAAACTCTCGACTTGGCTAAGCCCAGCTTGGATAGACGTAGACAAAAGCCCCGCCACAAGGGCAACCCCGGACCAATCCAAGCTTTGACGAGCCAGTTGCTTACTTTCGCGTTTCGGAACCACGATTTGATGACTACCAGCACGATAGAAACTGGATAAAGCAAAGGTACCTTTGGGAGAGAGTTGGAATGCTTGAATGGTCATTTCCCCCATCGGCGTTATGCTGAAGAACAAGCAGTGGAGACATGGCCGAAGACAAAGCCGCTATTCCGAGAAGAGTGAAGACCAGCAGTCTAAAGTGGGGGGCGAGGTGACAATTGGGGTCGTTGGACCCACGCGGGTTTTGGGGAGGGAAAGTGTTTTGGTGCCGTATTCCTCGCATTTTCCCCTTTGGCTCCCGGGAAACCGACGAATGCGGGCGGGGCGAAGCAACACCGCCTCCACGTTCCCCAAATCAGACCCGCTCGAATTTGATCAGCGACGGAGCGTGACAGCGTGACAGCCTCTCTCTCTCTCTCACACACACACTCATGCAATTTAGGCTTGTCGAGTAGACTTTTGAACAACAATGGAGAGAGGCCCAAGGGTCAAAGCCGCCCCCTTAGTAGCAAGCTGATTGGAGAGGAGAGCGAAGGAAGGGGGTTTCTGTCTCGATTCTTTCTAGAAAGGGGGGCGAAGCTTGAATTGTTTCCCTGGGCGAATATTTCCGCGTCTTCGGGACGAGAAGTGGGGCCGTATCGGTCGTATCAACAAGGCGATGCATCCGGTTGGGCATATTTTGTGACTTCACCTTGGGAGTTTCGGCGATTAACCTCGAATTCACTGCTGCTAGTGCGCCTACCTATTTCGTTCATTATATATATATATGTGTATATATCAGCCCATGATTCCTGTTTCCAACCATCTCGTACACAATCATCATCATAGACTAAGATCAAGATACGCACACTCTTATTCCTTGCATTGCCCATCCCACAAGATTATCCCTTCTCCTATAACCAATCTTCCATTCCAAAAAAAAAAAAAAAACCAAAAACCACTATCCACAATGGCAACCTTTGCTATCCGCCGACCATCCGTCACGTCCACCTCCACAGCCGCACCCCTACGAACTCACCACCCTACGCTCTTCCTCGCGCCCCTCCTCCTCCTACAGCCTCGACGACGCCTCGCTACCCCCAGACTACGATGACCTCGACATCGGCGCGGACCCTTCGCCGGACCCCTAGGCACCGGCTCCCGGCCCCCTTGTCCCCACCAAAAACTCCGCATCGACTGCCTCGGCCACGCCATCCTCTCCCTCCCCATCCCGCCCCGCCCGGACCCCATCCCCATCTACGACATCACTCACCACGCCCCCGCAGCGGACGGCGCCGAGGAGAGCTTCCGCGAACTACCCGACGCCATCGTCCCGCTGTACACCTCCTTCCGCCGCGCCCGCGGCTCCGGCACCTGCGAACTTAAGGCCGGCTACGACCCCACCTCCGACATCCTCGTTTCCACCACCTACCGCTGGGGTCCCGGAAAACCACCCATCCTCACCCTCCACAGCGGTAACGATACCACCACCACCTCCATCGCGGGCCGCGCCTCCTCGCCCGCTCCCTCCGCATCCTCGTCGTCTTCCTCCCCGGCCCGAGGCGGTGGCGGCGCTATCGTCGGACGACTCCTTCGCCATCAAGTCCAAGTCCGCCTTTCACCGCACCCTCGTCTTCCGCACCCGCTTCGGCACGTTTACCTGGCGCTACGCCACCCGTGCCGAGCGCAAGGCCGCCAACGCAAACTCTCTCGTCATCCTCGAGCGCGTCGTCGCCGTCGCCCACGCCCCCGCCGCCCCCAGCGCCTCGGCTGCTGCTTCCTCTTCCTCCGCCTCTTCCTCCTCCGTCTTTGCCTCGGCCCGCCGCCGTCCCGTGGCCGAGACCACCGACGTCGTCGTGGCCGAAGTCGCCCGCTTCGTCCGCTCCGACCAGACCCGTACCCCGGGTACCTCCAAGCACACGGCCGGCAACGGCGGCCTCCTCCTCCTCGACCTGTCCTCGTGGCAAGGAGAGAAAGCGGATCCTGCCGACGCCGAAGAGGTCCGCAGACTGGCCGTCGCTAGCTGCATCTCCCTCATGAAGAAGGAGGTCGATAGGCGCAGGGTGCAGCAGATGATGACCATGGCGGCCGTCATTGGCGGTGGGAGCTAGACAAGGATGGAATCTTGTTCGATTTTGAATTCCGATTCCTTGGTGTTTTTTCCTTCTTCTTCGCCCTGACTAATGTTGCCCTTTTCCTTATTCTTCCGCGTTTGCCCCCTCTGCGCTGATGTGCAAGGCCGCTTTGCTTTTAGACTTGGCAACTCTTCTTTTGTCTCTCTTCATTCGATATACATGTAATCTTTCTTCTATACCTTACTTTTTTCTTTTTCCTCTTTTCTCCTTTAGATGATAGCGACCAATGAAGAATGAATCGATTCCATACATGACGGTCCTGGCCCTTGGCATTACCTCCCCCATCTCCGTGATCCTAATATGGCGAGTCCATCCCCTCTCGATCGGACGTGCATTTTCTTTTTCTTTTACAAGACAGATTTCGTCTTTGCCAAGAAGTCCTTATCGTGATCGTCCGATGACTAGCAGCCTCACAGCCCCCTCTCAACGCAAAGCCGAGGCAGAGATAGGCAACCTAAGACACTCTCACCGATAAACACCAGAGTCCCTTTCCCGCCAGCTCCTCCACCGTGTCCTTGGCAAGGGCCTCTCTCACCCTGACCAGAATTGCCCAGGGTGAGGCGAGACACCGCTCAGCTCAGGGATTCACAAACGGCCTCAGCCAAAAGCCAAGCTTTTTAGGCATCACCATCAAAGCAAGGGGAGAGAAGATTGTATATAAAAAAGAGATAAGAAAGTGGGTATCAAAGGTTGTTTCTTTTCGTCTATCCTCGTCTTGGAAAAGAAAAAGAAATTGTGTTCTATGTTTGCATGAATGCCGCGGCCCAAAAAGGAGACAAGAGAAAAACCGAACTAGACATCATCAGTCTTCCTCCGCAACGTTCCCATGCAAAGAAAAAGAAAAAAACAGTCCTCCTTTCCTCTCTGGCGTCGCCTTTTCTCTCTAAAACGAAGATTTCGAGAAGCAAGCGAGTGAAATCGCACCAACTGAGTCATGACACCCTGAAAAAGACAGAGCCGAGATTTCCCTTCATATTCCCTCCTTCCCAAACTCCTGAAACCCCAGTAGAACCAGAGACCCGAAACCAGAAACAAATTAAAGAAAAAAGGGAAACTTCAAAAACAGAGTCCCTGGATATTGGTTGGGAATAGGCAACCAAAGACGAGAGCAGGATCTGTTCTGCATGTGCCCCCAATCGCCAGTCGTTTCCGGGTATATAAGAGTCATTTGTAGTAATGTTTGTCGCCGTCCAAAACCAAAAAAAAAAAAAAACTCCCAAACTCGCATAAAAGCCAAGTTGATCAAAGAACCGTCCCAAGCAGATATAAAAAAGCAAAGCAAAAGAGGTGTGCGATAGCAGGTAGCGTAGCGGTTAGAACATGACGGGCGCGAGCTGCGCGCCAAGAAACTACCCCATGCATGACCGAGCATGGAGGAACAAATCGCAACCGTGACGCCGTCTGTTCTAAGCATTGTCAAGACTGAAGCCCTACCAAAAATGGCCCGTAACGCGTTCGGGGAGTGCTCTCATTGCGAAAGGCAAGTAGGATAAATAATAGAAGCCGGGGGAATGAGGAGGAAGGATTGAGAGGCGTAGAAGCAAAAAAGACGTTGTTGTACGCCAAGACGGAGTGGGGTGTTCTTCGCCTGCCAGACAAAACATGTGCCCGGCATGACAAGAGAGGGCTGTGGCGAGAGACATGCGTACAGCCCAAAACGACAAACGGCAAATGCGCAGTCAGACAGTTTTAGTCTTTGCCGTCATACCGGTCGGTCCGGCGGGGTGTGTAGTTGGGCACCTCGTCGAACCAACCGTTCTTCTCATTGTACCGGTAGGCGTGGAATGCTATTCCGTACGGCTTGGGCTCAATGGCGTACACCATGCCAAGTGGCACGTCGAGGTCAGTGATGTCACGACGGGTGAGGTTCATAAAGTATGCCATCAGAACCCGGCAGATGGACCGGTGCCCGATGATGAGGACGTGATCGTTGATGCGTTCCATCTCGCGGACCATGTCGCGCATGCGGTGAATGACCTGGAGATACCCCTCCCCGCCAACGCCGGGGTAAATGTAGTGGAGCTTGTCTTCGGTTCGCTTGTGGTACTCCTCTGGGTATTCCTTGGCAATCTCGTCGTACGTCTTACCCTCGAATTGCCCCGCATTGATCTCGTTGAGCATCTCCCAGTTCTTCACGTCGTAGTCATCGTCCGCTTCGAAAAGTTGCGCAGTGTCGACGCTACGCTGCAGCATCGACGTCCAAACGCAAAAGTTCTTCTCATCGATTTCTCGGTTGTACTCGGGGTAGGGAGGCGTAAGGTCGCCGGGCTGCGGCGGGAACGACGCGCTCGCCCTATTGTCTTGTTGTTCGACGATCCACGCCGTGCGCTGCCATGTGATAAACTTATACAACGCCGACGAGAAAGTCCGACCGCGTTCTGTGAGCGCCGAGTCGCCGCCCAACTTTCCCTTGACGTTGTCCTCGCTCTGGCCGTGCCTCGTGATCCATATTTGCCGGGGTGAGAGATTAAACGTTGTCATATACCCAGCAATGGTGGTGCTGAGAAATCCCCGGAGGCGATAATGAATGACCTTGCGACCTACGTCGACCATCTAACCATGCCGGACACCGTTAGCTTCATACTCGACGCTACACATCCATCACCCCAAGAGGTATTGTTCTCACCTTGATGTACTGCAAATCCTGGCTTTCTTCGTAATCGCCGAGCGGCTCGTACGCGCTTTCGTAGGCCGTTACCCTCTTCCGGAAGTCCTCGAGCGACTTGCGGGGATCCTTGTCCCTGTAATCGGGGCCGGAAAGCTTCAGGCGCATGTTTGCCTCAAGGAGCTGTCGCTATTGTTAGCTACTGCGAAATTTCCTAGGTCGCGGTGGGATGGGCAAGGGGCCAACTCACAGCCTTGTCGGTGCAGACACTCTCGATGAAGAGAATGCTGCTTGGGCTCGCGAGCCTTGATGTGGTCGACGATAAGCTTACGCCGGCTGATGGTGCTATTCGTGGCGTCAAGGATGCCGACTGAGCCTCCCTGCCTCAGGAGGTAGTCCAAGAGTTCGTCCAAAGTATTCAAGGCAAGCTGGTCTCGAACTTTGGCGGCGGATTCGTTCTTGGGGTTGAAAAAGCTCGCCGACTGGTCTTCGAGGCCTTCCTTGTCGTCATTGGCTTCGCTAGGCTCGGAAGCATCCAGATTCAATGAGGTGGGCTCGACCAAGGGCGAGGGTACTCCATTAAGCAGGATAGCGGCGGCTTGTTCGGGAGCGGAAGGGGTAGGCGTATTCACAGACTCCTCTGGGGGTTGTGAGAGGTGGTTCTCCCAGCGGCAACGCGACGTCTATTCCCCACGTTGAAGATCTCGGTGCTGTGCTGTTGCCACGCAAGATAGCGCTGGATTTTCTTCGTTATATAAGACTTGCCACGAGCGGGCAGGCCCACCATCACAACGACGAGCTTAGAAGCAACGTCGCGATCGGGAATCCTGCCATCGGGCGAGGCTCTCGAGCGTGTCATTCCGGGTATGTTTAACGTCGTGGCATGGGGTCGAATGCGCGGCGTGTGACCCGAGTTTGACCGCTCAAGACTAATGATACAGAGGCCGGTTAGCTTGCCGTGTCTTGAGTATACAATGCCCGGAATCGTCTCCTCGAACCTCGGCCATGCCTGCCGGCGTCGTCGTGATGCGAAGAGCGAGGAGAGAGGGCGCATGGCATGGAGCAATGGGAATTCGTTCCAGAATGAGAGACATCAACTTACAATGCCTTGGGCGATCCCGGGGCAGTCGAGGGGTGACTCGTTGAGTAAGGGGAAGGGCTCGGTATGGGAACCGAGAGACCCGACATTGTCGAAGAGATGCCCATAGAAGCCGTGGCCGTGGCCATCATGGACTGCCCTTACCGGCGTAGGCATCGACGGGGTAGGCACCTCGGAGTGAGGAATCGCAGGTGCGGGAAGACTCATGTCGGTGGGCCCGCGACGGGGAGGATGCGCATCGAGGTCATGGTAGTTCGTGGGCTGGTGGCGGATGGGTAGTTGCGAAGGAGAAAAGCCGGCCGCTATGTTTCCAGTCATGGCCTGTTTGGCAAGGTGGGATTGCTTGGCTTGTGTGCGGCCAAGATCTATATAGAATTGGCAACGAGTTGACGGCGTGTGTTAGCTTTGTGGTTGAGGAATGGAGAGGAGGAGGAGGAAGGAGGTGTGGGAGCGAGGTGAGGTGTGGGATTTTATTTAGTGTAGGTTGTTGGGTGGTTTGTAATGTAGTGGTGGCTAGGCCCCTTGGACAGACATGGGTCGCAAACGCAACGTTGGAGACGGAACAGTGGTACTTGCCTGGCGAAGGAGGAGCCACTGACACCAGTCCAGCAATAAGGCCAGACATCAAGAACAATCAATGGGTTAATAGTTGGAGTAAGTGGAGGCCGATGTCCAGTCACAAACGACGGCTGGGGGTGTGGGATGTCGGAGTGGAGTATGACAAAAGCGTTTCGTTGGTGGTGCGCCGCGGTGGGCTTTTGGAGAAGGGGATGATTTTAGGGAAGTATTAGTGTACGAAGTCGTATCGACCCTGGCGCTGGATACAAACAGCGGTGCTGCCGGTAGAGCCGCTTCACCTCCAGCCCCACGAACTTTCTCAAGAACGCTGGCGTCGTTGATTAGCGACGCCACCCCGGTGTGAGAAGGGGTGGTGGAGAGGCCGTGATTGAGTGGGAGCAGGAGGCAGATGCAAGTGTTCTGAGTGGTTGAGCGGTTCGTCGGGCAGGGGGGTGCGTCTGCTCGATGTTCCCAGGGGACAGGGCACCTCAGATCAATGCTATTAGCTTGAGGGGTGGATACAGCGGGCTGCTGCAAGAACTGGGCCGCATGTGCGTCTGCTGCTGCGGTGTGCGCCCACTTGACGTAGGTTTGGTGTCTTGCGCCAGGGTTGGTATGGCGGCAAAATTGCTGATGGTCTTGGCTTTTCTGGTACTTGTACGGCGATCGAGGGCTGCCTTGCGATCCAAATTGATCAAATTGAGGGTGTCCCGGGTCGTTGAGTGCTCCGGTCCTGTAATTCTATTTGCTTAGAAGCCTGGTTCAGCGCTGCCTGGGCTGATCCGAGCTCCCAGTTGAGATGAATCGCCGGGAGATGGGCCTAGCATAGGGTGATTGAGCAAGCACAATGTCACCACCTTGCGCTCGTAAGTGGCCTCGTTCTTCAACAGAGTCTCCCCAGCAATCCTCAATTTCGCCGGATCGTTGGGTATCGATGCTCTCTGTCCCGTGGGTATCCTAGGTTTGGTACGATCGATGCTGAAATGAGGGAATGCTAGGAAACAAGGCGTGGCATGTGAGAAATGGCGTCGACAGCCAACGACGTGCCCTTTCGGTCAAGAATGACGAGGAGGGGGGTGGAAGGAGGCCCTGAAAACGATAGCTTCAACTTTGCTCTTTCCCTTGCTAGCGTATATCCCAAGAGCAAGGCGGTAGGATGGGCTGATTTCGAGATTGGACGATGGAAAGGTGATGTTGAAAGGGCAAAAACAATGTCGGTCGATGCCTTGCCTTTTTTCCTTCTTCTTCTTCTTTGCTACCTTGAGGCCCCTTGAGGACGGCAAGGCGCGTTCAATCGTTTCTCTTTTATTTCCTGTCCGAAGAGGATGCTAAACGGGAGGCGTATCTTGGGTGGATGCTGTGGATGGGATGTGGGGAGGGAGGAGTAAACTAGGTCGCCGGTGACTTCCTTTCTTTGGCCGGCGATGCCCTTGTTTTGTTGACTCTACTTGTACTTTGGCGCTTGATAATATGTGAATGTAATCGCAGCAAGCACGGCAAGCACAGCGACAGGGAGAGAAAAAAGCCCCTTGGGCAGGCTGATGGTGGTTTAAACTTGGAACTGAAAATAGAGTCCGGCCTGTGACGCGGTCAACCAACTGTGACCTCCTCATCTACATCCGTTCGTGTGAGGGTGACAGCCAGACACACCACAAGGATACGGCATTGATGCGTACCACAGCTTGTACACTCAACAGAGATGTCGATGCCAAACGAGGCAAAGGTCAATCGAGAAACAAGGATCGAGGTTTTCTTCCTTTTTCTTCTTCTTTCCCTTGTCACACTTTTACTCGTTTCCTTCGCTCCAGCGTTGCCCTCCTTCTCCACACCACAGCACTAGCAAATGGCAAATGGCAAATGGTAATCCTCTCCCAACTCTCAATGCTGCCAGGAGGTTCCGTAAGTCGGTCTATACTCGTACGGACGCTATTTTGTCTTGTTGCCGCCACTAGACCGGCCCCTTAGGCTATTACATGAAGGAACAGAGAGAGAGTATTAGTCAAAAGCCGACGAGTTTGAATTCTTCGTAATACTAATACCGGTGGAGCCTGTGCTGCCAGATCAGGCTCCACCAGAAACGCCACGAGCGATCAAATCCTCGACTTCCGGATGGCAGATCAGCGTTGAAGAAAAGAGGAGACACGAGTGGAAAGAAAAACAGAAAATGAAGGAGGGGAAAACACCACCAAGCAACCTTCCCAGAAAAGAAAGACCTTTGGGGGAGAATACGAGGAAGGAGAGATCGTTGCATTGTGTGCGTATCCTTTGAATTTTTTTTTTCTCCTTCCTCCCCACCACCTTTTTCGTTTTCTCCGTCGGGTGTTCGCATTCAATGTTCCTGCGCTCCTTCACATTTGATCCTTTCAGTTTTTCCATGGAGATGCACTCTGTGCTAGTGCTACCACCATCCCATATCTCGACGCGGGTACTAGCGTGTTTGTCCCTTTGGGTCCTTGAGTTTGGCGGCACCATCCAGGGCTGGACCCGGCTTGCGCTGGCTCTCGCCAGCAAAAGACAAAAAGGCAGGGAGGGACAAAGGGTACATATAACTATCCCCGCCAACCATCGAACTCTGTTGAGGACATGGAGTCATCACTGACCTGACACTGGTTTTCTTAGTGTAGTGCGGATGCATATGTCAAGGGACCGACCTCGACCCTCAGGTGGGGATTATTGTGGATGGAACAAAAAATGAGTCAAGCAGAGCCTCTATTAGGCGGATTTCTCTCTTCGGGCCTGCTTCCCCTTTCCATCCCAAACTTCCTCCTGCCGTTTCGGACCCCAAAATACCGTGCCCACTCCATCTATGGATGCTCCGCTTGCTTTCTCGGACTTTTATCCAGCGTGTGGGACAAAGTACAAGGCAGTGCGGTGTGCTCCGTCTGTACGCCCTCCGACTCCTCGAAACCCGAAGAAACCCCATTGCTTGCCACCCAGGGCCCTCTTTTCTCCTTTGTCTCCTCCAGTGATCTCTCTGCCACGATTCTCGGTGCCTTTTGCGGCCCACACAGGGCAACTTGGACGCTGGGCCCTGGCGTGGAGTAAATTTCGGGGCCAGGCGTCTCGGCCTTGCCTCTGTGGACGCGTCAAGGGAAGATTTGTTTTGCACTTTCTCCACTTGACGTATCAAGAGGCCAACGGCGAGGTGCCATGTGCCCCGAGCATTCGAAGCTGTGAAGATTTTCGGTCTCCCAGGTGGGCATTTTGTTTTTTTTTTTTTTTTTTTTTTTCCTCCCTCTTTTCCCTTCACCGTCCCCACGGCGCAAATGTCACCTCCACCCTTGATATTGTGATGCCTCTTTGACCCGCCCGCTCCACGGTTAGTCTCCAGACAGTACATGTAATGTAATAATGTACACGTCCAATCGAACCTTGAATCCGGCTCAGAAGCCTCGCTTCACATGCCCGTCGCCACAAAGCACCACCTCCTCACCTACCAGCAGATCCGGGAGTCGAGACATGCGGGCGGACCACTGTCCGTGGCATTTTCAGCGAGATTGCTGCTTATAATACGCGGCATTTCTCAGGAAGCGAGGCTCCGCCGTACCAATCATACAAGAAGAGTCTAGTGCAGTTACGGAGAAAGGTAAGCCTCTTTCTTCGAAGCGAACAGGACGATGGAGGGGCGTGAGCGAGCGCCGGCCTGCCGTTGCGTAATTCCCGCCAGATTCATTCGTTGGTTCGATCTGGGGGAAAGGACAAGAGATGGAGAGGTGGTCTCGTCGCTGCCAACAAGAACTGGACCCGAAATCAATCCCACGGATCCCGGTACGATGGCCAAGACTTGAAGTAGTTCGCTGCCCGTTTTGATTAAATCAGGGCCCTCCTCCCTTTCCCTTGTCTCTGACCTGCACTAATACAAGTACACGACAATATTCCATTTGAACAAGAGAAAAAGAGACCAAAGGTTCCATCCATCGGACACGGCGAGCTGCTGTTATCAATGAGAGAGCCTTGGAGACTCGGCAGGCTCCAGCGCGCTATCCCCATTTCATACCACACATCTTTGTCCAGCTCTCGATCCGTTTGGTGGAGTAGTACATCGTAGCCCTACTGTCGCACCACTGGATTTCCGGATGCAGCATAGCCAGCGACGCCAGCATCGACAAGTAGCGCGGTGAGCGAAACATGCTCCAACTCCCTGCTGAGAAGAACTGATCATGCCAAAGCCGCAATCTTTTGGCAAGTACGAAGTAAAATGCAGCACCTTGGCTTCCTCTCCGGGAATGGTCTTGCGCTTTTCAAGCTCGCCTGCGCAAGGGTCTTTCAAGCAGCCCCCTCCCCTCCCTTCGCTATCTTCCCTTTACTTGGGAACGCTTCGCTCGGTGTTCTTTTTGTATTAATGTACTGTCGTAGCCACTGGTCTTTTCCCGTAATAGCATAACCCTTTGTGCAGATCGATGAGGGGAGGAGAGGGTGGGCGCAAAGGACCACATCATTAAGAGCAGATACCTTGCTCTTCTTAACCCTTGCCGAGCTCAGCGCGAGAACCGGCTCACACAGGTAATCTGTTGACGGTGGGCGACTTCTACATCAAATGTGCCGCCGCAGTTTCAAAGCGCCGCCCCTCGCCTTCGTGCCCCCGCCCTTCCGGTGGCCGATTTCGTCAATTCGCGTCGGTGTTCGACTGCATCCCATGCCTTCCATCCCATGCAACCACAGCTCGTGCCCCCGCATTTTAAACGTGGAGTGTAGCTTCCCCCTCCCTCCGCTTTCATTATTTTCCTTGACTCCCCTTCCCTCACCCCTTCCAACCCCTCCAAGGGATTGCCTCCGAGCTCGGGTGCAAAAATATTGGTCATGGATGTCACCTCCTCCCCCGCGAGGCGAGGAATCAATTGTCTACAGAAAACCAAGATCCGGATGGGAGCTAGACAGATCTCTCATTTTCTATGCCCTCTATTTTCCAGAAAAAGGGGACGGCTGCCGCTGCAAGCGTGATGAGGTGGTGTTCGAGCCACCCTTCAAATCTTTGTGCTCCGCAATCTAATTCGATCATAGTTGCCACCAGAACAGGTCATTCGAGTGGAATTGTACCCCTTCTTTTCCAATTTTCCCGTCATCACTCTGTCCCTTTCCGCCCTGCGCAGAATTTACATACCACTCAAGGGGGCCACATGTTGATGACAGAGCGCGGGAAGGGTCCCCCTGGAATGTTGCATGGCTTGAAGGGGATTCCATTCAAGCTCGTACAACCCCGTCTTCTTTTTCCGCACCCTCTATTCACTCTCTTTCCGGCGCTTTGAAAACGTTCTTCTCCCCATTTGATCGTTTTCTTCAAGCCCCACTGTAGATAGAAGGAAGGAAAAAAAAAGAAGAAGAAAGAAAAGAAGGAGAAAAAGAGTGTAAAAGGGGACAAGAGAGGCACTGATCTGCTGTGCCGATCTCCTCTGTGCATGCCCCTCTCCCTCAAATTCCTGCTTGCTTCATAGTGTCGCCCGCTGTTGCCGGCGAATGAGCAGACCGCGCTTCTCTCGAAAATCCAATTGTCTCCAGAAGACAGGACAGGCAAGAGATCGCCAGGGATCCATCAACGTGGTTAATTTGTGACGTAATGACGAGCTCCAGGAGACGTGCGGAAAGAGAGAGGACAACCCCAAGAATTGAACCGAGCGAGAGCTGCTGGTGCAGTCATCCCTCAGCCGTCCGTCTCACCCTCGAAGAAGTTGGTGGGATGTCCAAGCCAAGTGGAATTACAAGCAATAAGAGCAAAGAACGACGAGCAGTCCAGCTGCCAGCCCGGGCAGGGGTCGAAGAGAAGGGCTCGATAACCGATTTTGATCAATGCGCTGACCACAGGTTATTATCATTCTGGAAGGTTGCGGTTATCTGATGCTGACCCTCTCTCTCGCACAGTGAGACGCTTGCAATTGAACCGAGAGGGGATTGGTTGCGCTGCAGCTGCTGGTGGGTTTTTATCTCGGTCTTGTTTCCGCAAGGCAACCCCCTTCCTCCTCTCTTTTCCATTTAGGATGGGTAATCTATCACCACTCTCCTTCTCTCGATTTTTCTTTTTTTCCAAAAAGGACCTGAGCAGGGCGGGAGTGGGATATCTTACGGCATGGTGTGTCTCTAGTCCGTGCTTCCTGTTCTTTTGCCTTCTCTAGTTGGGGGAACTGGTCGATTGGGTCGTACGCATGGCGTGCGACCGAGTGCAGGCCCGCATTGCTGGGACTAGACTGGTCGTCTTCAAAGTTGCGACTGGATTCGTGTGGTGGTATGGCATAGGCGAGATAGACGCATGAGAGCTTCTTCAAGAAGAAAAGAAAAACAGAAGAAAATAAAATAAAAAGGACGAGGAGGAGACTAGGCTAGCATTGGCGTTAAACCCTGGTGTTCGTGGCTTCGCTTCTTTCTCTTCATATCCCCTTCACTACCGTGAGCCGTCGCGTTCGTTTCATCAGAATGCAGAGGTGTTCAAAGCGACAGTAGCGCCCGCGCCCGCGTCCACCTCGAGCAAGAAATCAATCAATGTTGTCCTCGCCCGCCGCCTATCCCCTGCATCTCGAGCAATTTGTATGGCACTTTGCCTCGTTCATTGCGACTCTAGTGTAGGTGTGCCGCACCTCCTGTCAGTCTTTATCCTCTCCCTCACTCCCCCATGCGTGGCCCCCATCCCACATCCCACACTCCCAAAGGAAAAGGAGTGAACGATATCGGCGAAGCGAGCAGGCGCTAGCACGAGCGACCAAGAACCATTATCCTGGCCTACCCCCATCAGATTCCTAATGTAGCCCTCTTGAGTGGGCGGACCTCGCTCCTCTAGCGTCCATCTCATCCTCACTTCCCGGAGCTAGATGCGGACCTGCCCCTCCGAGTATCCCATGGACTCGCCGAGAGAGCCTAGCGCCATTTGCATCCTAGCCTAGAAGCCTCGATTCCAAAGCAAAATCCGCTCCGAGTCGAGGCCGCTCTGAGGCCCCAAGCCCTCGAAACCCACAGGCAGATGCACCCACCTCCACCTCCTTCATCGAGGGCATATCCCCGTTCAGACAACCAGCCGATCTGAAGAATATTGCAGGCACATTGTTCCCACTTTCCGGGCCACGTAGACTAGATCTTGGGAACCCCCACCAATTCTTTTCTTCTTTTTTCTTTTTCCATCCCGCCCTATCTGCCAGACCCTTCTCCATCAACCCTTCAACTCCAGGCGCTCTTGAGCGATGGCTAGCCAATTTTCTTTTTTCATGGGCGGATGGTACCCCACAAAGTCGACGAGGTGAAGCCTAGGTCGGTAGCATTCCACCAAACCTGATGTCGGGCAAATCGCACTTATCGATGGAGTCGGTCGCTTGAGTTGGTGGGATGGATTGCTGCAGCGGAGAAAGGCCTACCCGGACTATTGAATTGCCGGATCAGACATGGACATGACATTGGTAGCGTCCTCGTTACAGAATGAACAGGAAATAATAAGCGCCCTACTAAACAGCCCTCTTGACTCGTCTTGGAGAATTGACACCTAGGCACAGTTTCGCCTAAACAAGGCTTGGAGGCGAGACCCCCAGGGTTTTGCCTCCACCTCGCGACGACCCCAAAGGCCGAAAGGTTAATGCCGCTTCAGGAATCGTACCCATTTGGCACGTGGTCCATGGGCTTTTTCATGACGCATGGTAGTTTGCCTCGTCCCTTTCCCTTTTCAGAGAACTTCGCCGAGTGTTTGGTGCAGTGCAAGAGACGCCTCTGAATTGTTGCGGGCTAGCCATGAACATGACCCTGGGCGCAATACCTCGGCAGGGTCTCACTTGTTGGCTTTTAGGTTTGCGCCCGGCACGAGTCAGTCAAAAGCAGATGCGCCTTCCCCGGACCGGCTTTCATTACCTTGAATTTCTCTGAAGCCATGAAGCCATCGAACCCTAGAGGGCGTTCCCAAGTCGTGGACAATGCATAATATATCGTCATATGGGGCTAGGACCTAGTCCGTTCTTATTTCGGGGTCACCTCTCTCGGCGGGGAATCCGTCATGGTAAGAGTGTCCCTTGCTTCGGGTGTAGACAAACCCTTAAAGCATCATATGCGTAATTGGAGTGGTTCGTCGAAACATGCATGATCATGGGGTTCGAGGCCTCTTCCGTTCACCGTTTGTTTGGCCTTGCCCTCCATCCCCCTTTTCCATCGGGGTAGAGCTGATGGCTCAACGCGCCACCCACCACTCTGCAAGAAGGGAGGCTGGTGATATGATGGTCGTTCGGTGACGACCGGCGAACCACGCACTTCATCTCCTACGCCCTTGGGAAACCCACAGGTTCCTTCCCCCTTAGGCGCCAACCCCAACATTCAAGGGTCAGGGTTACCGCTGTCGTTCACCCAAAGCAGGTTGGTAGGCCGGGTGGCCGGGGGTGGCCTCGTTTGGACTTTGGCCTTTTATATCCCGGGCTCCTTTGTTGACGTTGCCTCCAGCCAGTGGTGGCATCTTGGTGCCGGTGGCTGCGCGTCCACATTAGAGCCCTGCGCTACCTAAAGAAGCATGCGTCAACCTGGCATCTAATGTCTTTCTTGGTCTGCCCTGGTGATGCCTTTGAACTGGAGTCATAGATGGGAGCTGTTTGGCCAACCTGTCAGGCCCACCTATGATTCATATCCTGCCCTTGTCCACAGCCCTTTCACAATTTTTTAAGGAAGGCGAGACACATGAAATAAAAGACGGAGATACCATACTCGCGCCTTCCACAATATTTTGTTGATCTAGGGCCTGCAAAACAAAAAATTTCAGTGCCCACAGCTTTATAAGAGGATATGTAAGAGATGTCTTCTGGAAGGAGCGAGCCCTGTTCATGATAGGTTAAAAAATAATTTTCATCCACGCTGTTTATCTTTGTGGGGTATATCCACAATACACCACCTCTTCCCCCATTCCGCATACAACGCGCCTGTTTTCTACAAACCTCACCCTCTCCCTGATATCTCATTCTATATGAGAGTTTAAAACGAGTTCAACGGTTTATAAAATTATTGGTATGTTTCTAGAAGCCCCTGATTTAGACTACACCTATTCTTATGCTCTTGTTAGACTTTTCTAAGCCTCTAGAGGTGAGATTGACAGCAGTCTTGCTACCTTCCTCTCATCCACAACTATTGCATCGGCCAGGGTGTTTGAGAATATCACCTAGACAAGGCTCTAACAGCATATAGAGGCTTTCTTGAGGTGGCTTCACAAGACAGCTGGCAAAGAATACCTCTCTAGACTTGTCAGCTCTCGTGCAGGTATCAACCTATTCTTATTCCAACCTGAACATCGTCAAAACTACTCGTCGAGTTTGCCAACGGCAGGCGCATTTCTCCTCACTCCCATCTAATCTCGCGTAAGCGCTCTCTTGTCTTTTCCAAGTTTACCTGTCTGGTTGAGAGATGGCTAATCTCCACTAGCAGAGTCAACCGGAGTCTATATCTCTAGATATCTCTAGATATCCAAGGTCCGATGGACTCCACGTTCCCTGCCGCCTTGACGGAGGCGGCTACTCCTCCTGCCTCTGCGCCGGGTTCGCCCCACGCCGCGGCCCAGGCTCAAGGCCCAACGGATAGCCAACAAATTTTTGTGAAGGAAGCACCCGCTGTCACGGCCCAAACCGTTGGGCAGGCGGGTCTCGATAGCTCGCCTCCTGAACCCGTAGAGATCCTCACTAACCCGCTTATCGAGGGCATTGACGTAACGTCCTTGAAAAAGGGGGTCCTAATCCCCCTTAAGACCACACTCGAGGTTCGCCAGGATCATAGTGTCGTGCAGGTTTACATCACCCGTGCCCCCACCAAGTGTGCCAATGAGGTTATGAAGTAAGCAAACGGTTTCCGTCAAGTTCCATTTCCCAGAGTCCCCTCCATCCTATTGTTACCGCTTTGGTGTGAGCAATGAGTTAACAAAACGGTTTCTCGCTTAGTCTATTACGCAAGCTATTGCCTGAGAGCAAAGTTAAGAGCATGCCTCATCTACGTCGTGTCGCGAAGCCCTCGGACCTCCTGCCCATCTCAAAACCGAGCTCATGAATGGCGACGCGATCGGCAAGCAGATCCACACCGGAAAGTCGGCATGGATCTATATCATGCTTGGTGAAGCCCAATCCATCGACCGCGAAGAGCTTTGCGCCGGCTTGGAAGGCGTTGAAGGCCTGGATGAATTCTTCCTAGCCAGAATCGCCGTCCCCGCCACGCCACCAACCTCGCAGATTATTGCCGCCATGTGGTCCTCGCAGTACTGGCCCACGGTGTACCGTAAGAATAACCCTCTCGGGCCCCACCCCAGCATGATTTCGCGCGCAACTCTCGAGATCAAGGACGATGCAGCGTTGTGGATGTCGGTAGCGTACCGAGTTGCCCAGCGTGCGCATGAGACGGGGATCGGGGAGCCCATGGCAGCCGTTATCGTCCAGCGCGGGGAGGGCAAGGCACGAATTATGGCTGTTGCGGCCGACGCCCGATGGGTCGGAGAGACGAATAGATCCCCCACATCCACTGGAAACCCGATGGCTCATTGTGCCTTGAGAGCCATCAGCATGGTGGCTCAAAAGCTCGTCCGTCATGAGCGGAGGGCTGCTGGCGACTGTATCGAAACTCCCGTGCTGGATTTTGAGCCCTTCCAGGACCAGCCTATCCTGGAAGAAGAGCGAATCATATTCCAAGAAGAACACCCTAACCCGGACGGCTATCTATGTCATGGGCTGGAGCTGTACTTAACGCATGAGCCTTGCGTTCAATGCGGAATGGGTATCCTTCACTCCCGAATGGGCAAGGTCATCTTTGCCCATCGGCAGAGCCTGACTGGGGGCTTCTGCTCCGAGACCCGCGGCCACGATATGCCCGACATTCCCGAGGGCTCAGCTGGTCACGGGCTTGGTCTCTTTTGGCGACGAGAATTGAACTGGAGCCTCCTCGCTTGGGAATGGGAGCCAACTCAAGAGTTGGCTCTGCTGCCCCCGTCCATCCGCATGTCCATCCTTAGGCTGTAGGTTCTTGTTCTTGGCCATGGCCGTGTAGGCCCTTTTCCTCTTCGAGAGAGAGAGAGAGAGGGGGAGTGCCCTGCCGGTTGCGCCTTTTTCGTCGCTCTACGACTTATTCTCGGCCATCTTTAGTTTTCCCAATTCTTTTCCATTCTCTGTCATCTCCGCTCGAGACACTCTTTCATCAGGCCCTCCATAGTTGGTGGTTCGGACTAGCTTTTCTCGCGGAGCTTCATAGCATGGCGCGTGCATTCATCCGGCGTAGGACGCTTTATTCAAAAGTTCTCTTGTCAAATTCAATACCACGGCGTTGGGGCGAGAAAGTTATTTGCCAGCCTTTTCTTCTTTCTTTTTTCCAAGAGGCTTTCAACGGACAGCTCACGATATCCGGTTGAGAGAGCAACGCTGCATGGGGGTTAGATAGTCCCTTAAGCTGCTCCATGTTAGACACCTTGGGAAGGTTGCGTGGCGACCCGTATATCCTCTTCCTCTTCCAGCATCTTTCCCCTTGGCATTGGCAGGTTTCTGCTTAACAACATGATGGAGAGCCATGGTGGGTGGGGAGAGGGATAGACGGTGCACCTTTCCTACATACGTTTACGCACTCGGCCACAACCTCATTGTTATAGTTTGAGCGGGGAGCCTGTCACAAGAAGATAGAGGAGCGGATGCGGTTGATGATGGCTATTTTGCTAGCTAATCTCCCGGTTCCTCCCAAGTAATAGTCAAGATCATCGGTCCCCGTCAGCCCCCTCTTGCAACCGCTATCGTATCCTATATTAACGCCCTGCTCCCAAGTACGTGCCGATTATGATTATATGCCCCGTCTTGCACTTTTTCCTTTTTCTTTTTCTTTTCCGCTTTCTGGTTTTCTCTCTTCTTGTCTTTGGAAACAGAAAACCCGAACGGAAAACGGAAAAAAGGTTCAAGTACAGTTGTCAAGATTGTCTGTGCTCTCAATCCCGGGCTCGGTCTTGTGGGAGCCGCTCCCTTCTTCCTAATCCGTCCAAAGCAACTGTACCCCGGTTGACAGCCGGAGTGGGACAAGTACTTCGTACCCAAGATGTGTCTAGTAATTCCTTTCTCTTGATGAAGCGACAAGAGCATAATACATGAGACACCACCGGCCGTACTATTTTTGGCAGATTCAACCATACGTCCATGGATGTAATCATAGCCCAAGGTTTCCACGCACATCCGCACATCTCTTCCACCTTGTCTTGTTAATGAGTAGGCCCTCTTTTCTTTTTCTTTTTTTCTTCTTCTTTTTCTCTCCTTGCCCAAAGACGCTCAATCCACTGTTACAATCTTTAACCTATTTAACACGTCGAAAGGTGGGGCGGGGCATATCCAAGAGAGCTCCAGTTCATATCTCTCTGTAAAGTGCAGTGACTGTATAACAGCAAGTCTACATAATCCGTTCATGATCTCTCTCTCTACACTGGCAGGACTTTTTTCCCTCTAAAGAGACTCGGCTTGTTTACCCGTTGTTTGTTGTCATTTCCGCGGCTACCAGCCTCCACCCCCATTACTTCGTTTGGAGATGAGATGTAGGGGAAGCCCGGTAAGAATGAGAGGGGGATGAAGATGAGGGAGAAAAACAAAAGGGAAGGGGAAGGGGGAAAGCGGAGGGGAGAAGGGGGGTCACCTGGCTGCTGCATGAGGCAAAGTGGATAGAAACAAATCAGTCAAGAGCCCGAAGAGGAGGGGGGGCATTCTCCTTCGTGGGTGGGGAGGGAAACCACCTCCGCCGCTTGTTCCATTACACTTGTACTCTCCGCCGCCTTTTCAACACTGGTGGACCAAAGAGAACCAGACCAGCTCCTCGCGTTAAGAAGAATAATACTGAGGCCGAAAGAAATGTATGATGATCTTGAATTTCCTTTTTTCTATTGAAAACGAACAGTTTGAGTGGGCAAAGAAAAATGGATACTTTGCTTGGCGGGCTCGGCCTTGACTTGTTTTGAGTTACATGTGTAAGTTCTCAACCCAGCTCGCATTAATTGTGTCAAGAGGACGCGTGCGCGGGGGGGCGTCGTCTCGACGGTCCTCGGCCTTTCGTGAAAGACGGTTGGTGGGTTGGTGCGTGTGGCGGGACTTCGGGTTTGAAGAGGATCGAGGTTCGCAAGAGTAGTGATAATGGAATGATGAGGAGTGCCAAAGGTGCAAAGTATTGCCTATCGCCTAGTATCGACTTCCGGATGGACTGGAGAGATGCAGAAGGGACGGAAATGGGAAGGAGGGATATGAGAGACAGGAAGAGGGGGGACCATGGAGGTGGAGGTGTCTGTGTTAACGACGAAGGGAGAATGGAAAGAGGATCAACCCCCCCTTTTTTTTTCTCTCCCTCCTGTCCTTCCTCCCAGCTTTCCCCTCATCAATACTCGAGAGCCGTTTATTTCACTTTGTTATCATTATATTACATCCTTTGGCCCCGGTTGGGAGGCGAGAGCGTGGTAATATTTCTCCCTAAACCAACAACTTCTTGCTAGCACCAGATTTTGTCTTTTGAGGTTTCCCAACTAGACAAGTCTTGACCCCTGTCGCTCACTGGAGCTGTCCTCCACCCACTGATTTTCCTGCACTGCGGGGCTCACAAACGATCAGCCAACCGCTTGTTCCGAGCCCGAGGCAAGAACATTAATACAACTGCGGACAAGGGAGACGGGGCCAACTAACAATAAACGGGATTGGTTTTTCTCAACCCTCCCCTCCCCTACCCTACCCCTTCTTATGGTCCAGACACGACAAGGAATTCAAGCGTCCAAACCAAGCTCTCCCCCTTCCAGTTTCGCCCCATTCAACTCGCACTCTTCTACGGCTCGAGCCACACAACCCATCATTCTTGCCTTTTTTCTTCCCTCTCTTCTCATCCGTCGCGCAAAGAACCGCCTAAACCGAAGGAGATCACGACGGTGCCAGAGAGGGTTTACAACACTGCCCAGACCGATAAAGAAGAGCGAAGAAGGGAAAGGCCAAGACTAGCCAATTCCTCACACCTACAACCTACCTTTCTTCTGAATCCTGCGTTACGTTTGCGACAGCCACCCACTTGAGCGGCTTTGTTCTGGGCGCCTAAACCCTCGATCTGACGCGTCAAGCTCTCGAAACACACTATTTCCCTTCTCTCCAAAGAATTGAGGGGTTCCCTTCCAGCTTATCCCTTGCTCTGTACAAGACCCAAGGTTCTACGCAAGGAAAAAAAGGAAATCGGTCCAAGAATCAAAGGTGGCAGCTAGCGCTCAGACAAGAAGCTGCGCTCATATCCGTCCGCCTCTCACCACCCACGCCAAATTCCGCCCCAGTGGAAACGACATAGCTCGAAGAGAAGCTTGGGCATTCCATCACGCGGTAGACAACAAAGACCTCAAAGAACGCGCAAGAGGCAAACGTCGCCTTGCGAAAGACGCCTCCTTCAATATTTAAGAAACACCCCCGACCCCGAGGGGCTACAAACGACACTTGCCCCTCCAAAAACACAGATTCAATAAAAAACACGAAGCAACCTCTTCATCCATATACAACAACTTTTTTTTCCTTTCCAACAGTCACCGATTGGCTACCGAACTACTCGTTTGAATAAGAAAAGACGGGGAAACGGAGGGCGAGAGGAAGGGTATGCTCCAAGCTGCATACAGAGGAGCCACTAGTATCATTTTCGACACGTCAGTTGCAACGCGAGTGCTGTCAGCGCAAAGCCAACGCGCAGTAGGCGTAGGAGCCAGCTACGGGACAAGAATCGCACGACCACCACTAAGTGCCATGTCTTCCAACACTAGAAAGAGGCCCCTCGTCTCGTCGAGCGCTCAAGCTCCTGGGTTTAAGAAGCGCAAGACGGATCCCTCTGTACCCAAGTTCTATGCTGTGCGTATTGGCATGAGGCCGGGTGTCTACAGGACATGGGATGAGTGCCAGGCGCAGACGGCGGGCTTCAAGGGCGCTTCGTGTAGGTCAACCACTCAGCTCTGCCAAAAGGCTGCCGTTGAACCCGCTCATACTAACACACACCTTTTCCTCGCCTAGACAAATCTTTTCTCTCCCTCGAAGAGGCTCAGGCCTTCGTCGCTGGCAAGAAGATCAAGTCCACCAGCGGAGAACCCGAACCCCCAAGTTCTATGCCGTTGCAAAGGGCGCCTTCACCGGAATTTTTACCGACTGGGACCAAGCCAGCAAAGCGATCAAGGGCCAAAAGGGCCCAAGTACAAGAAGTTTCCTACCCGTGAGGAAGCCGTCCAATTCATAAAGGAGTGGGGTGACGCCGATGCCATCGCCGCGCTCGGGGAGAAGGTTTCGGATGCCGAGAGCAGTGACGAGGACGACTCCGACGAGGAGGACGACGAGCTGGATGTCGATGGAGACAGGCTCGAGGTCGAGGAGAGCTCTGGCGCTGGCAAGAAGAAGAAGGGGGAAAGGCTGTGCTGGACGTCTACACCGACGGCTCAAGTCTAAAGAACGGAAGAGTGGGTGCCGCAGCTGGCGTGGGTGTCTTTTTCGGAATTGGCGACACTCGGTTCGTAAATCCCCTCCCCTCCCCAAACGTCGCTATACCCCCGCCACAATCACGTTGCTTTGTCGTCCATTCCCTTGCCTTGACGGGCTCCTGCCCTTGACTTGTAAGGGTCATCTGCTGACCAGCCTTACAGCAACATCTCGGAGCGCCTCCATGGTGAGCCACAAACAAACCAGCGCGCCGAGCTGATGGCCATCCTCCGCGCCCTCCAAGTCATTGATGCCCACCAGTCTGTGCAAATCATCACCGATAGCCAGTATAGCATCAACTGCGCCACGGTTTGGGCATCATCCTGGGAGAAGAATGACTGGAAGACGGCCCAGGGTGAAAACGTCAAGAACCAAGACCTTGTCAAGGGCATTCGCCAACGCGTCCGGGAACGGACGAGGGCGGGAGGAAAGACCACCTTTAAATGGGTCAAGGGCCACGCCAACGACGCGGGGAACCAGGCTGCGGACCAACTTGCCGTTGCGGGGGCCAGGAAGGCTCTCTGGTGAGGAAAAGACCTGGTCACAAACCGTGCCTTTCTCGGCGATAGCCTAGCCTAGTCGCCGGTTCAGCCGTCGCTATGTACGGTGGGCCCAAGGCAGGTCAAACGTAACAAAGCCAGCACGGCATATAGGGGATATTACAGAAGAGTAGCTGCGGTAAACAGCACCAAGTATTTGGGTTTGATGGATTTCTTCTTTCAGGGTTCACGGGGTGGGCATGTTCATTGGTTTTAGTTACAGAGATACCGCAAGCGATGCGAGTGTTGGACTTTTTTTTTTTTTATTCGTTCTAGCCTACTCTCTCTCTCCCTCACCCTCCTTCTTTTTTTTTTTTTTGGGCCAAGTGTGTGTGTGCGCGCATGTGTGTGTACGTCCCTTTTCTGTCCCTATCTCGCAACATTGTCCTTTTTATCCTCAGTTGCTTATACTTCTATGGCATACCCTCTAGTGGTGCAATGGCGCCTACCTTGCTCTCCTTTCAATCTTTCTCACGGGGCGGCCGCCAGCCTCAAATCATTACTCGTCCCACGTCAGCATGCAATTATTACAGTCAGGTCAACTGCCAAAGACCAGCAGAACCCGGTGGGATAGCCACGACGGGGATCTTGCCGGTTAGTTCCCATACAGTGGCGTCGGGGGCCGCGACAGGCCGAAGTGGACGAGTCCGGGCTAGAATGGTAAGAGTGCTCGCTGGAGCGTGCATTGGACTGTAAAATACGATAGAACGATGATTGGCACCCTCGGAGAAGTCCTCTTGATGCCGTACCTCTTTCAACGCCAGGCGTTTGAACGGACCGGGTGCCCTTTTCCTCCTCCATGTTGAGGTGGCTGGTTGTTAGACAAGGGTGCTTATGATCACGATATTTACCAAGTCGCAGACACTCTGGGTCTTCGAGATGCCGTCTCAGCAAGCGAAATCATGGAATCAAGGATAGCAAGGGGAAATGGGAAACGCGAACCACTCATCGTCACCGATCACATTTCACAAAGTGGCAAGCCCAACCCCATGATTAACTCTATATCAACTCGCGAAGCTGGGTCGAAGGAGATGACGAACGGGGAAACAAGGGAACAAGCAGGGGTATGAGCCCGGGAGAAACGACGGAGATTGAGACGTGAATGGCGACGAGACCTCGCGAGGCTGGAACGGGATTGCCCAACCAGCTTGAAAGAAAAACGAAGAAAAAAGGTCAAAGCCTCTTGGCATAACGTGGGAGCGAAGCAGAAGTATCGGTAGACGCCCCCACCATCCTTGGGGAGCCTGATACAAGACAAAGGTTTAGGAACGATGAGTTTATTTGCTTTCTCTAGCCGCTTCGAGGACCCTTTCTTTATCAGGGAGCTTTGTTTCCGTCCCTTTTCCCGCCATCCTTTTTAGGGGCCGAGAAGCGGCTTGTCTCACGTCAAAATCAAACTTGTTCTGGAAGGGGGACAGTTAGGTGGAGTTGAGGGAAACCTTGACGACTTTTACTGCGCCCGCATTGCTAGCCCATGCGCATTTCTGCTAGAGATTAGAGGCTGAGGAGAACGTCCTGGCAGAATCCAAGTGTGAGAGGTATCCGACCGCGTGCGTGGGCTTGCTAATCAATGATATTATCTTTTTATATCCCATCTCTTTGTTCACCGTTTCTGTCCTCCCTCCCGTAGAGCGCAGAGGAGAAGAGGAGATGACGAGCTTACGTTTGGAGGAAGGTCCCCTAGAAACCCCTTCCCCACCTATGGAGGGAAGCGCAACTGAGACATCGGCTCAAATCAAAATTCCTCGCAAGTTGCAACTTGCCAGGTTCCTCTGAATTTGCCGTCCACCCGGAGAATCGGAAGCGCGGCGGCAAAGAAGACGAGACTAGGTCGGCACCGGCAAGAGTCATGGGGGAGGGGGTGTGGCAGGTAAAACTAGAGCCATGTCGGTCTAGACGCGTGGCCGCCCGGTGAATCATAACAAGAGAGAAGAGAGAGGCCACGGGCATCAGCGGCATGGGATGATTTGTGGCAGGGGTGGCAAGGTGAGGTGAGGAACGACGACTCAGTTCCGTGGGGGTGGGTTTTTGTCTAGATAATCATGAAACTAGTTAGGCCTGGGCCGCTGTAGGCCGCCGTCGGCCGTCTTTGAACAATAAAAATAAAAATAAAAATAAGCGTGACTAGGATAGCAGAGTGAGGGGAGAGGGAAAAAGGAAAAGGAAGAAGGAAAAAAACAAGAAGATGTCAGTTGGAACCGGTGCGAAGAAATGAGGCAGAGTCTTGATGTCGCATCTCACGCCTTTCTTCATCCCATCTAGGAACATCCGGATGGAAGGGTGACGGCCAAGTGTAGCAGAACTTGGTCCACCTCGAAATGGCAAGTGGTGTCACTCGGCAAGACAAGGCTGTGCGCAATTCTATATCCTCTGGACTGCCTTGTTAATTTCGCTTGGAGGCGAGGAGACAAAGGTTGCGGCTAGGGTCATTTTCCGGGCGTGAGACTCGATATATTACGCGACATTATGATCTATAGCGGCAAAGGACAATAGGGAAAAAAAAAGAAAGAAGAAGCAAAAAGCGCCGTCGTGGGCACACATGTGATCTCTCGGCGCTGAGACGAGCACAGTGATACGACCTCGTTCATCCGGCGCGCGTATGTGCTCTCGAGCCGAGATAAGGGTGTGGGAGGGGAAGAAAAGTAGATGGGAGATAATGAGTAGGAGTAGTAGTGGTGGTGGTGGTGGTGGGGCGAGGCCGGATTATGATGGTGGAAGGGCCGGGTCTTTGCATAACCTGATGCCGAGGCACCCGGCATGCCGTCCACCTTGAATCTTTCCGAAGGACGGCCGTGGAGACGGTTGCGAGGTTCGGGAAGAGGCGGAAGGGAAGCTCGACGGATCGGAAACTCCCAGAAAACGGGGAGGGGTGAGAGGGGAGGATGAAAAAAAAATAAAACAATAGAGAGAAAAGAAAATTCATGGCCAAGTCGATCCGAAATCCATCTAGGCGCTTCTCAAGTTCGAAAAATGATACGTTTCGAGGATCTTTGCGAGACTTTATTTTATCACTAGTGCCTGGCTGGGCTGGGCGGTCTCACATCCGGCTATGAGTGGTTCCCTGGAAGACGGGACAGCCAAGCCAGCCAGCCCTTTGGCAAACAAAACAAAGCTAGGCCCCACGACTTCCTAGTTCCTAGGTGCTAGGGACTGATAGAAACAGTGACGATCAAAGTTATCAGAGGGGAGGAAAAAGAACTAAAGACAGATGGGTGGTTTTCTTTGACTAGTAGAGACATGACAAAAACCGATTGCCCGGAAACGTCGATAGGCGTGTCATCTTCCTGATTGAATGATCGGGGGACCGGGCCAAGGTGCGGCCGAGAGCTCCCCTGGAGGGCCACAGCACGCCCGACAACCCCCGGTGGGGCAAGGTGGCAAAGGCACAATGGGTATCACGAAGAACTTGGGAGAGAAAGGGAGCCTTCTTGGATGTTAAGAGAGGGGGACGACGGAAGGGGGAGAGGGCGGAAGGGGACGGGTATGTAGGGCCCACGCGGCATGGGGCGCTTGGGATCATGAACAAGAGCTGGCGATAAGTATTAATAGCTTGAAGCCCGGACACGACCGTATCATCTCTAGGGCGAGGGTAGGGAGGGGGAGCGGAGACACGCGGGGCTGGGGACCGGCGATAGGGTTCTGCTTGTGAAAAGGAAAAGGATTGAAAGAACATGAGCATGTGTTTTGTCGTTTCGCGCATGGAACACAACGCTCATTGCGTCTGTTCCTCGCCTCGAGGAATTGGCCCATTTCTTCCTTGCTTGCTATTTTCGCTACTCGCCGAAAATGGGGGTTTTCTTCTTCCTCTCTCTGCTAGGTGCGCCTTTGCATTTTCAGGTACCTTTCAATGTTCTTCTGCTCACTCACTCTTTGCCTCGGCGAGCGTCTCACTCCGGGGGGGTTCTTGCATGATAGGCCAGTCGGAGCTCTCCTGAGGTGCTGGTACACTGCATGCATGTTTTGCCCGATTGGGATGCACCTCTTGCCGCACGGGCGGGCAAGGGCGAGAAGGAGCGGTGTAAGTAAGAAAAGCGGCCCCCAAGCCGGCTGTTTTCTGTATTTCGGGCTTCAACTTCATCAAAGCTCGACAGCCCCAATGAGGGGCGGGGGACAAACGACGTTTGTCGGGCTATCCGTGAGAGGGAGAGAGGTAAAACTAGATGCAAGGCAAAAGCACGGAAACCCTTGCCGTGACACATTAGTCCTAAAAATATCAAAAGCGCTAATAGCGTTAGAGTTGAGACGGCGCCAGGTGCTGGTGCTGGGGGCGTCGAGGGGCAGTGATGGGATCGGCAGGACAAGGGAAAACATGCCTCAAGTTTGAATTGCTTCTCCACCGAGTTAGTGCGGAGAGACAACATAAACTTGATAATACCCCGGGATGCAAGATGCGGGTACACGTGTACGTGTTCGGAGGTCATGAAGGGACCACCGCAGACGGCACTACTGCCCAATGCTGGAGAATGGGATAAAGAAAGGCAAGTTTGAAGACGAGACAAATCAACGGCAAGCAGCGAAAAACAACAAAACCCCGAAATGAAAAGGGCCATTTTCTGTTTCCGAGAACCCGCGCCACGAGCCAGCCCATCATCCTGCCGTGGGCAATGGATTGGGCTCCCTCCACGACAGCAATAGCTTGGAATATTTGCGGGTGCCAGGTGAGGTTGTGGCTGATCGGCAGAGGATCCAGTTCTCTTTTGTTTTCGCCCACACTTTTTCTTTCTTTTTCTGATGACGAGAGACCACTCGCTCGCCACGGGGACCACGGAGATTAGCATTCGATGCCTGCAACCCCCACGGTGATGTGCGCTCATATATTCTCCGAGAGCTTCGTTCGAAGCACCCGTATAAATGAAGGCCGGCTGCCCACGTCGGACTGACACAAATTACGACTAAGCTGATATGGATGCTGCCCACCCTTCAGACCAGCCGCCCGGTCGATCACTAGTGTGCCGTTGTTATCGCGGGCAAATTCCCTGGTCCTCTTTTTAGAGAGATTACATGTACGAATAAAGTGAGACTGGCTGTGAAAAGCAGAGAATAACTCGCTCAAACTCTGAATCAAATGCCGCTGAGGCGGAAACCTAGTGGTCCACGACGACGGGGAGCCGGGATATGACTCCGGTGACCCTGGGAACCCCACATCACTAGCACGCACACCGAGGAACGGGACGATCGTTGGAGCCCCCTTGAAGAGAATATTCGAACGGAATGTAAACCATCTCCTGCAGTCCTTTTGGCAACTCTTGGCAAGGATGCCCAAACCCTAGCTGTGGCCCGGGTTTACTCAGATGAGAAGGGTGGCAGGTTCTGGATCGATCCTGTTGTTTCGAGGTTGGCCTCAGTTCATGGGGGGCGGGAGGGGGAGGGCGAGAGCTCGCTGAACCCTAGCGGGCTCGGTATCATCTGTTGACCGTCGTTAAGGTCTCGCTAGACAAGTCTTTGTTTGCATCCGCGACGCTGCATGGGGGTTTTTGATATGATCATGTCCTTTACGAAGGAGGGGCAGTCGCAATGTGCCAAGACAGATTCAGAAACAAAGCCCTCAAACCCTTCAAAAGTTTCGTGGAGGAGGCGAGATCCACTTTGAAGGGGCAACCGGCGTGGCAGCAATCGCAAAGGCCAGCCTCCCGAGCTTGCGCGTGCACGAGCACCGTTGATGCGTGGATGGGGCGAGCGATACGAATCACCTTCCCTCTCCAGTGGCGAGATCCATATCGCTCCCATCTTGCTGCCCCATCCCGTGACTAGCGCCAGGGAGCCAAGGGAAGGAAAATCATGCAAGGTGAAAAAGCAAAGGTATGGCAAAGAGAGAAACCCAAAAAGGCTTTGAATAATACCTGCTCGATGGAGAGTGAGGCTCAGGCCTGGAGATGCCTGTGCACTAGTTCCGCAGGACTTGAGACGGCGCAAGCAAACGACCCGCGCCCCAAGCCAATTGACTGAGATGTTGCATCACCACCCTATCTCAAGTGGTCTCTAGTCACTGATTGTGATTGGGGTCGAGAGGGGCTCTCCAAAAGATATGGGGTATCTTGGTAGCGTGAGTGTAGCGTATCGCTAGTTTAATCGTAATGGACCCCCTCCCAGCCTTGTGTTTTTTTTTCCTCTTCTGGAGTAACCACTTGGAAATAGCGAGTTGTCGAGGGAGCGTGTGAGTGGTCGTGTTATTAATGTGGGTATCGTCGCCGAGCCCTTGCCTCGCTTCATGGCTGCCCTTCTTGTCCCTCGACCATGCGGTGTGGCGGAATGATCAATTGGGGCTTTGTGTTTGTGTGATTGTGTGATGTAGAGGAGCCCACTTGCTCGGGGTTGCACAATTGGACCGAAAGCTCGAGTGTGCTGAGCTGTGAAGGCTTGGTTTGTTCGGCGATTTCCATGGGCTTCCATTTCTAGGCACCGTTACTCTGTGGTGTACTTGTATTTGGCGCACGGACACGAACAGCGAAATGTCGGAATGGATGGCCCAGCGAGCCAGGTCAGGTCCATCACTCGCTTCACCATCATTCGTTCGACTAGCACAGTGGCATACAAAAGACAAGACCCCTGGATAAGGTTTTTCCTGCCAGCCATCAAATTGCTAACCACCGAAATAGGGTGTCTGAGCCTGTCACCGATTGGGAAACCGAGGTGAGATGGATCAATTGTCGCGGGCAGGTAGGTGGGTGAGTTGAGGTGGATTGGAGGCGGGGTTGGCCAAACACGCGAGGCAAGTTGAACCATGGGCAGCAGGTGACAATTGGTACCCTCTCGGTTCCCCTCCCTCAATTCTCTCCCTCTCTCCAAAAGCGTCGTTTGTCGACGGACCTGGCTGGTTGTCAATGGATGTTGACACTTCGCAATCGTGTACGTGTACTCTTCACAGTACTTTGTACACCACTTCGGGCTGCTTGCCATGCGCAGGTGGTATCCTGCACACCAACCTGCCCGCGAGGGGGTACATTTCTACACTACATGCGCAGCATTCACCATTCACATTTTGTGACTGCATTGTCCTCAACAAATTGATCCCACTGCACACCGAGAGTCGGAAGAGACGTGAGCGAGAGGAAAGAGTGCTCCTCCCATCCGACGTTTGTCATTCTTGACTGACCGGATGAGCCCACCTTCCGGCCGTTGATTCTCCTCACGCCTTCAAGCTATAGTATGTGAAGAAACACACTGTCTTCTTTGACGGTGACGAAAAGCGGGGAGGGGGATGGAACTGAAAGCAAGTGGAAAAAAAAAAAAAAAAGAGGTCGTAATAGTTCGATAACTCTAAAAGAAAATAAGGAGAAAAGAAAAAGCCCCCTCTTCCGCGGGGGCGTGTGCCCTGCTGCGAGGAACGTCGAACTGTCTGAGACTAGTAGTAGCTTCCTGGCCATGGCGAGTCGGGTTCTGCATCTCTCCAAGGGACGGATCCCGCCTGGAAGTATTAAGCTAGCCAGCGCTAGTAGTGAATAGCGCTCAAGTGTGAGAGACTTGGTCGTCGATAATCGGCCGGGTACAAGCAAGTTCAGTCTCTGTCGCTGGCCTGACGCTTGTGTTGCGAGGTCCTCAAGGTTCTTTCTGCCATGTCGGTCTGTCGTGTGTACCGTACCTTTCTCGCTGTGCTCCGCCTTCGAAGCTGTCTCTGACGTCTTCGGCACGCGCTGCGCACCAACGTACAATGAATGGCCACATAATCGTCGTCCCTCTTGGGATGCCACCGTTCGTTCGTTGGTGACCTTTTAGGTACTGGAAAACGACCCCTCGCCGCAAGCTTCGCTAACTCGCAAGTGGGTTAGACATGCCCCTCCATTTGCTGGTAAGTAATCCCGTATTTTAAGCGAAAATTGATGGGCCCACAAAACTTTTGTGCTGGAAAAGTACCTCAAACTTTCAAAGGGGCGCGCGTTGCGGGTCACGGCGATTCTGGCCCCGACCCCGTTTCCTCCTTGCCTACCTCTCCTTCTCATGATATTACTCGTAGATCGTGCTCATAGAAAAAAGGAGCTTGACGATCTCTCTGATTTTGGATTGATTATCTTGGGGAGGTTGAAAAGCAGGCCTGCTTTCTTAACTGGGCTCGTCCTTTCCGTTTCCGCGTGCAGATAGCAGGCCCGCCGCATGCTCATACAAGGATACCTCGAACGGCGAGACTCGGACGGAGACAATTGCATCGACTCCCGAAATCGCGAACCTTGACTCGAGGTAAGTTCGTCGACCGTGCCGTGACCAGTGACCGTGTCAGCTGGCGTTCTTTTGCCCTGCCACTGGCCTGCCTTGCCTGCCTTGCCTGCCATGGTCTCGCTACAAGCAGGCACTCATTAATATTGTTTGGAACGGACCCGGAGAAACTTTTGGTCGATCGTGACCCTTGGCCCTCAATTTAGCACGACAGGCAAGCCGACTTGGCGTGCTCCTGTGACCACTTAAACGGATAGCGCAGGCAGGTGTACCCCCTGTTGCCCAGCCCAGGAAAAGAAGGCAACGAGGCAAGAGAAGAGTAGTACCAAGTACACTGCGTGACAAAAACCACACCCGCCATCTTTTGCTGGGGCAAGCTGGGCACTGGGCCCTCTTTGGTGGAGTACATCCATCCATGCCGTCAAGCGAGGCAAAGTACTTGTACCTCCCCGTCTTGCTTCTCTGGTTGTCTCCACTATTATTCGTCTCCTTTGGTGCCCTTCAGTTCCCTTGCACAAAGTATCAATCTCTCGTAGGAATATAGCTGAGGAACTTCTTGGGAGTCGCTAGCTAAAGGGGGAAAAGAACGTACGCAATTTCGACGACCAGCCTATGTTCTGTTCAATTTCCCCGTCGACACCGAAGGCATCCGTATTTCCCTCCTTCTCTTCAATTCCAACTTGAATTCAGTCGGGGAAAGAGTTCTGGCTGCTCCTCGTCGTCAACTGGGAATCCTCACGGATTCAGCGGAGCGCCGGCCTCATTTTCCTTTTTCCCTATTTCTTTGTCTTCTCTTTTTTTTTTCCCTTTCCTCCTTTCTCGTCGTCCATTTCTTCATCCTCCCTCTCACACACCCCGGTCCTTCCAAGGACCCAAGACCCTTGACCGTCTTTTTCTTCCTTTTTCCACCCGCCACCACCAACGATTAACCACCAACTACCACCATTCTCCCACCGCCCACATCCACCACCATCCTAATTCGCTTCTCCCGCCCGTCACAAACCTTACGAGGCCCTCTCTTTTTCTCTCCAACCGTGTCCACCAAACCACCTGACTCAGTCCTTTTCACACGAGTTTTCCTTTCCATCATCTTTCAGGCTTCCGTTCATTCTCTTCTTCGAACACGGCAAACCCTCGAACAATTCAGCCTCGACGATAACTTCGAACTAGTTGCCCAATAATCGATCATTTCAACCCCAGCCTCCCACTCGAGATTTACCCTTGAGTCGCTCCTTTACTCCGATAGTCGGCTTTGGTTCAGTGTAGACCAGCGTACAAAAAAACTTGGGTGTTGATTTCGTTCGACTGCGATTTGAAAAATCCAAACTCTGACCAACAGCGGCGGGAATCGCCTGGCTTTGGCAAACGTGAGAGACGGCGTGTCCTGGGCGGACGAAATAGCTCACCACACCTCGCCATAACGTGACACCCTCATTCCTTTTCGACGATGCCTCCGTCAGAAGACCCAGACTTGACTCTTTTCGACATGGAGACCTTTAGCTTTCGCGGTCTAGATGAAGAGCAAACGCTGGATCCCTCGAGTCTCGACTTCACAAAACCCTTGCCTGCCAGCAATAACGACAACTTTCTCAACAACCCCGAGTCCGCAAATTCCTTTGTTTTCCACGAGAGCTACCAAGAAGAATCCCTCTCCGACTCTTCTTCTTCGAAACGAGCGAGTAGCGAAGCCTCTTCCAAGACCGGGCCGATGGATTCCGCCATGATGAATGACATCAGCATGGAGGACGGGGCCTTTCACAATGCGTTGAACGATCAATTATTTGACACTCCGAACGACCAGACCTTCGGCACCCCCGCTCGAGATGGAAAGCGCTTTCGACGAAGATGAATTTATGAACCAGTCATTTGACTTTGCTAGGGCGTCGAGCAGCCCCAGTGAGGTACCGAAAACCCAACTCGTGGCGAACGGTCGATCGTCAAAATCGAGGCCTCACCACAAGAGCCGATCTGTATGTTACATAGTTGCGCCCCCTTCCCCTCCTATCTTATTTTATCTTTTATTTTGTTTTTCGTATTATCTTTATATCCCCTCTATACTCCCTCATCCTTTACCTCTTTTTACTCTTCTTGCTGGCGTTCTGTTTGGGGGCTGAACTCTAACCCTCGTGTAGCAACACTCGTTCAAAATCTCATCGAGAGAGGTATCGCCCCATTCGAATGCCTTTGCAAGCAACGCCTCGTCGCCGAATGGTCAGATGGATTTCCATGACCCGAGGCAGATGATGATGCACCATCAGGCCAATGGTGCGCCGACCTGGCCTCACCACCTCAGTCCCGCGACGGCGAATCATCTCTCCCACGCGTTCGCCACGAACCCCGTCGCCGCGAGCCAGGCCATGGTCTTGGCCCAGTTTCCGACCTTTATGTCCGTGCCTCAAGGGGCCCTCGACGTACTCGGCGCTAATCAGCCGTTCCTAACCTTTGATAGGGAGGGCATGCCTCCCAAGACACGAGTTGAGACTCAGATCCACCTCAAGACGGTCTTCTCCCGCCTCCCACCCGGCGTTGCGAAGCTCCACCTCCCTAAACATACCGTTTCCAAGCCTAAGCTATGGTCCAAGGTTTCTTATGTACCCTCGCCTGACACGCTTGACCTACACACCATGCTTGTGTGCACCAGTGCTATGGAAAATGATGAGATGAGGATGCGGGCGATGAAAAGGGCTAGGGAAGGCCCTAACTCTGGCTTTAACGATGCGAAGCCCGAAAAGGAGACGGACGACGACAAACCTTTAAACGGCGGCGAGGTCTGGATCTGCACCAACTGTATCGACCGTGAGAGAAAACGATCGGAACGGAAAAAGGTGAAGAAGCCGGACGAGGAGGGCATCTGGAAGGCCGAGGAATGGCGCCGAGTCGTCGTTTTCAACACCCACGAGATTCGCGAGTTTCCCAAGCCCGACCCCGTAACGGGCGCGACCGTGATCGAGCTCCCGATGCGCATCGCCTGCTACTGTCGCCATCAACAGGAGAAGATGGGGTTCCAAGTCATCTTCACCATTCGAGACCATCTCGGCCGCGTCCTGGCCCAGGAGTTGACACCGTCCATCATGATTACCGACGACCACAAGAATCACCTTCCGCCCTCAGGCCCGTCCCCTCTAGCACTCAGATCTCATCCCGGGCAAGCCAGAACCCGTCCGCTAACGGCATCGGCGCTCTGGCCTCCGCAAAGAGCACGCTCGGCTCCGATTTGCAGCCGGCCTCGAACGGCATGGCACAACCAACCCCGTTCCGGTCTAGTCAGTCAGTCACCGATCTGGGCCGCATGCAGACCGGACCGCCGCCGACTGCCCGGCGGATGCCAAACACTCGGCCCTCCGCGGCGCCTCGGGGGCCTTTGTCGCGCCCCGCCTCGCCTAGCAGCCTGTCGGCGCCTCACGCCAAGAAGCGCAAGTCAAGCACAGGCAAACTACCTGTCAGCATGGCTATGACACCTCTAGACACGGCCATTACTGCGTCCCCACCCAGCCAACTCTCAGCTGCGCCCTCCACGGCGACGTCGCCATTTGCCCAAGCCGCCTTGGCCTTCCCTAACCAGGAATCCATGTTCGCCGGAGGGAGCCCTTCGGCGAACGGCAACCTTTTGGCACGGCACCTTCGACGCCGAACATGGAAGACCAGTCCTTCTTCTCGCCTAACGCGTCCGTCGGCGTCAACGCCGAAACCCTGGCGCTCCGCCATCGATTTTCTACGGCAACGGCCTCCACACACGCCAGCAGAGCCTCTAGCCCCAACAGCTTCAATAACGCCCTCAACGCGGCTGCCATGCAGTCTCAGTTCGCCCAGATGCTCCCGAACGGCGCTAACCTAGCGGCTATGACCTCACTCGGTAACAATCTCCTCAACACGCAACCCCCTTGCCTACCATCACCAAGGTGACGCCCTCCGAAGGCTCAAGCTTGGTGGGTACGAGGTCACCATCCTCGGCACTGGATTCCACCGGGCGTTAGAGGTCATGTTTGGAGACCAGAAAGCGACAGCTACGTACTTCTGGGCAGATAACATTTTGATTTGCATTGTTCCCCCTGCCCCGTGCCCGGCGAGGTGGTCGTCACTTTCCCGCAGCACCAGACGGGCGTGCAGAGCATGATCAACCCCCAGAAATTCAAGTACCTAGACGATGATGAAGATAAGCTCCTGCGCTCAGCGATGGAAGTTTTGGCCCGCAAGATGAACGGCAACCTCGGCGATGTCAAGGACTTTGCCATGCGCGTCCTCAACTACCGTGGCCTCCCACCCAATGCCGGCGCAAATGGAGGCGGCTCCTCGGGCTCGGGTTACACGAACGCATCTTCCGGCTCAGCTAGTGCGCCGTATGATGTCGAGACCCAACTCATGAAGTGTCTCGAACTTATCGACCTCGACGACAGTCCGTACAAGGCTCAATGGGATTACAAGATCTCCTCGGGCCACACAATGCTGCACTTGGCGTGCTCACTTGGCTTCCACCGCTTTGCGGCGGGGCTGGTGGCCCGTGGGGCCAAGGTTGACGCTCTCGATAACGGCGGCTTCAGTCCCATGCACATTGCGGCCATGAGTAATCACCCGGAGATTGTCAGGAGGCTGCTTCTCGCCGGCGCGGACCCAACGCTGAAGAGCAAACGAGGCCTAACGCCGGCGGATGTGGCGGAGTCGGAGGACATCATCAGCGACCTCCGAAGGGTGGCCAGACGCACCAAGAGCCGGAGCGTCGGCTCCCTGCGCAGCGCCGCCAGCAGTTCAACATCACTTCGATCCCTCTGGGGCCAAGACCAATCGTGCCCCGACCTCCGCGCCCTCGGAGCAGCCCATGCCGAGTACGATGACGACAGTGCCGAATACTCATCGTTCGATAGCAGCGGCAGCGACGAGGATGCTGCCGTGGAGTCGGATAGGGAGGCTGACGAAGAGGATGTGCTCCAGATGCGCCGGTCGAGTATCCTAGGAGTCGCCAGGCCTCGCGGATACTTGAGTCGGACCAACACTCATATGAGCCACATCAGCCAGCCGGACGAGGAGATTGCCGAAGTACCAGCATCCCCTAATGCTGCCGCGGCTGCCTTTAGGCAGTTCCAGCAAGCAATGACGGTTTACATGCAAAACCTCCCTCAACTGCCGCATATGCCTCAAATTCCCCAGATGCCTCAGATGCCCCAGATGCCGGCATTCCCCGGCATGGGCCCGCAAGCGGACAACCAAGCCTCGATCTACTACGCGCAATTCATGCGACGTCTAGCTGCGTTGGTACCGGGTATGTCGGGTCAGCGCCCTGGCACTCCTGATTCAGAGACTTTGCCGCCCTCGTATGAGGACCTCTACCCGTCGCAGGAAGGCGATAGGAAGGCTAGGTCGGCGGAAGAAGCCCTCGCCATGCAGCCCACACATCTAAAGACTGCCCAGGCCGAGACGGAAGATGCGAAGGCGCCGGAGGCGGCACAAGAACAAGAGGAGGAAGAGGAAGAGGAGGAAGTGGCGGACGAGGAGCCAGGTGTACTCAAGATTGGACGAAAGAATGCCATCACCAAGGAGCAGCAACTTGATATCCTACGAGCGCATGAAGCCAAGCTGAAGAGACTGAGCAGCGACAAGAACTTGTTCATCATTTGGGTAAGTCATGAACCACACACGATGCTGAAGCGCTCCCCAGCCGAGTCCCGTCTCGAGAGCTAGCCGATAACTAACCATAGAATGTCTGACAGATCCCGCTGCTTGTTTCCATGCTTTGCGTCCTGCTCTACGGCCGCTTCCCGGAGTATTTAGCTTCATTGGCAACTTTGTCCTTTCGCTCTTCAAGGCGACACAGCCGGCCAACCCCGGTTCCTCTTCGTTTGGGGCTGCCGCAGAGAGTTGTCGAGGTTCTATAGCCGCCCTCCTCTTCTGGCAATTTTTTTCTTTCAATAAGCACCCTCTCTAGATGAGGAACTACATTATGCCAATACTTGTGCACGCCGACGCTCACTCACACACCAACCACACACGCACACCTCTTTATCCACAACAACACTAAAGCAATAGTTACAACCGGACTCGGAAGGTACGAAATACAGGAAAACGTTTATAGAGAGATGGTTTCTCTTCCGCAAGGGATTTGGAAGAAGAAGAGAAAAACGGGTTTCGTGTCGCCTCGCTGGATTTCGGGAATAATTTTCTTCTCATCGCGACGGCGTCGGGGCCGTTGGACCATCGTCTTGGACGATTTAGATTGGGCTCTAATGGGGGAGAGCTCGGAGAGAGAGAGAGAGAGAGAGAGAGAGAGAGAGAGAAGAGGTTGGGTGGGAGCGGACATGTGTTGGAATCATGTTTGTGTTGAGTGTGGCCAGGGAACCGGGCAACAACACTGAAGCGCGCACGTCGCACATCAAGCAAGCCCTGGAGCAAAGGCTTGAGATGGACTGCGTGCGGCTTTCTTTTCGACGACGAGGTCTGGAACCCCAACCGGACCGGATCTTGATTATTTCACATCTTCTCCTTTTCTCGACCTCTTATTAACCCCCTTCCCCGGTCACTCGCTTGTTCCACCTCAGTCAGCATCAGGCTTGGTGCTGTTGTTCTTTATCACCGCCCAACCCCCAATGTTACACCCCAGATAGCACCGCTCCCCCTTTCCCCCAGCTACTACCACCTACTACCCCTCGACCTCTATTTCTTGATTGATTCACTACACTACACATTTTACTCATTCCTGATGTCACGATGAATGGGAGGGCCTTGGTCTTTTTTTCTGTTTCTCCATATTTTCATCTTTAGGTTACCTATAGAAAGGATCTTTAATGTTGTTTTACCGGGTAGCTTCTAGCTTGTTTGGGGCAAAGAACTTGTCTCGCCATCATCATCACGAATCCTAAAGTCCTCCCAATTTTCTTGGATTATATCAACTCCCTGTTGCCTCCTTGCTTGCTTGCCGAGATGCAAAGTGTTGTGCCAGTTTGGCCTGTGAATATTAGTAACGAGGGTCTTGTCTCCCATCATGCTACTATAAGCGTCCCCTCCCGCGCTAACACCAATCTTGAAGCGATGAGAGGGAGATGGCCTCTTTCGAGCTAGGTGTATAAATCCTCAATGCATCAGACGACATTCAAACAACCCACCGTCACGAAAACGTAGCACAATTTCTCATGTTCTTGGTCCTTCTTCTTTCTTCTTCGTGCAAAAGGCAAAAAAGTTCCACTGAAATAGACAGATTAATCGAAACAAGAAGAAAACTAACAAAACTCCCCGTACCCCGGTCGCCTCCTTCCCAAATCCCCGTCAAAGATCCGTAGAAACGTAGGTAAAAGTCGGAAGAGGCAAAAAGGAAAAAAAGAAAATTGAAAAAACCAGGGGGAAAGAAGTTTACAATGTACAGAAAAAGAAGAGGGACACGCGCCCAAATCACATCGTTAAAGCGCTTCGCTTGTGTGTGTCTTGGCCATCTTGCCTTGCGAGGGCGTTAGGCAAAGTCGATGCAGGAGGGGAATCCACATCTGCAAATGGACAGGTATAGATGGCTCTCGCATAATACGACTCTCCGTGGGTCCTGTGTTACCCGGCCCGGCCCTCGTTGCGTTTTTCAAGGGCCGTTTCTTTGCATTGCGCCGCTCAGCATTAGCATCCCCGGCCACTTCCAAGACCAAGAGCGAATCCAAACAGAGCCAGTCAAGACGTACTCCAATAGGAAGAATAAAGGAGGAAACTTGGATGAAAAAGGAATTAGAATAAGCAAATCGTTCCCTGGCATCTCATGTTTCGTGAAATCGTACCCTCATGAGAGTTGGGGTTTCTCTGAGGCTATTTTGATTAGAGTCGTGAGAAGCATTGCAATGGTCGTCAATACGTATAACTCCGGTCCAGCATAATCGCATCGCGTTAGTGTCGTCCGCCAAGTTGGTTTCTTTTTTGAATCGGGTTTCGTCCACCACGTCACCCGTTTCCGCCTCCTAGTTCGATGATACGCAGAACCCTCCACAAGTTGTGGAGACCGCCACCTACAGCTCCTACTCCGGGAGGGCTACAAACCCCGCGAGAGGCCTCGGTAGACTCCCCGTAGCATTGCAGGGTTTCAGTGATCAATATAAAACGTCATCTCGACATCTTCGTTCTCGCCGCGAGCTCTCGAGACCGGGTTCCGTTGCAGCGGGCTCTTAAACTGTGCTGGGATGGTCGGTACCGAGGGAATTCCCTATTCGCATCCGGTCGTACGCTCAAGGGACCATTCCTGCGACGCCCCTGTTGCTGTTGGATGGGGCTAACTCCCTGGCCACCAGCCTGCTGCTGCTGCTGCTGTTGTTGCTGCTGCATTCTCTCCAGCTCTTCTTGTTGCTGCTGCGCGAGACGGCCCCAAGGTACACCCGTGGCAATGACTTTGCCGCCAAGGCTCTCGATATCGGTGGCCTGGCCTGACTGTAGAGCATCAAACTTGCCGGGCTCAAGCTTGACAACGGAGGAGACTGGTCCACTTATGGTCAGCTCGCGCGTGGGAACTCGGCTCGAACCTGGCCGGCTACCTCCACCGCTGCTGCTGGCAGGTCGCTTGGCAAGCTTGTTCGTCTGGCTGGAACCCGAGAAGGACCTGCGCACGAGGATTCCTCCCACCGACTTGACGATAGACTGGGAATCAATGGTGCTAAGGCCGAACCCGGACGCCTCGGGCGAGCGTGCCCCACCGACGGCGGCTAGGGGACGCATAGGTGCGGGAGCTGGGGGATTGCGCGGATTCCGTAGCACGGTAGCGCTTGATACGAGGGAGGGCAAAGTCGGCGATGCTGCGCGTAGTCTTACGGAGCTTGCGGGTGGGGCGCGGTGTCGCAGCCTCTTCGTCTTCACGCTCATCGTGAGCGCGCTTCTTGCCGCGCGACTCGGGAGTTGGCGCTGTGGTAGGCCGCTCAGGTGTCGTTGCGGTAAGGGGTCGGCGAGAGGGCGACTTCTGTGGCGTCTTGTGCGGCGAGTCGGGGGTGCCATGCGCGTACGAGCAGGCGAGTAAATGGTCGGGAGCTGAGGTCTCGAAAGGATGTGGGGAGAATTCCGTAGGAGGGCCTCCAGGTCGCTGGCTTGGTAACGACGTTGAGAGAAGAGCCTCTGACGCGCCTGCGCCGGGATGCCGCGTTGACTTGATAGCATGAGCGCCGAAGAAGCCCGAGTCTAGAAGCTGATGATAGCTGGCCATGACTTCCTCCCTCGTGGGGCGCTCCTTTCCGACGCCACCGGGGAGATTAACGCCGTTGATAGTAATGGGCTGAGTGGGGCCTGTTGGGGCGGCAAAGGTTGACGGGCCGAGGCCCTCGCGGCAGCGGCAGCGGCGGCTGTGCCGGCATCAAGGCTCATGGGCCTAGATTGTTTCTTCCCAATAAACTTATCACGGAGCCCAGTCCATAGGGGAGCAAAGAAGCCCCTCTTCTCCTTGGGTGCGGCCGTGAAGGCGGCACTTGCTGAACGCGGCCGATCCGTCTCCTCCTCATCGTTGCATGGTCCGTAGGAGACTCCAAACCCAAAATCGGTGGGGACTGAGGTCGCAGAGCCAGTGGCCGACTCGGCAGAGGAGGACAAGGACGAGGATGAAGGGTCGCGACGCGCTCGGGTCAGAGGCCGCTCTTCTCCGAGAAAGTGGGTTGGGGGGCTGCGGATACCCGGTCATTCATGGAACCCTCGGTAAATCGGCTCCGCGGGGAGGTATAATTGGACGATTTGACGACGCCATCCTGTGCAAATGACAGAGGCGTGCTTGAGGCTAGATATTCTTGGTTTAGGGAGTTGAGCTGGCAGGGCTCAGGGTAGAGTTGTACGTTCGTTTGTGTCTCTCGTTAGACGTGCTCGAAATCTCGCGGGGAGGTTCCAGTCTCGCTACGCTGCTCGTCTGGTCTGTGTTGTACGTCTGTTCTCTGCGGAGTCGTTCATCTCCTCCTGCAAGAGGAGGATGGGCGAGTGAGAAGAAACTCGGACTGACGCGTCTATGGGATCCTTGAGGGAGGGAGGGAGAACTCGTGCGGGATTCCCTGCGGGCTACTGCTATATATCTCTCGGGGCAGAGACATGCGCAGACCAGGTGGGGAATAAACAAAGGTGTCTCGTCTCACAGGGTGAGGAAGTCTGTCGGCCAAGTATCTCGCACCTTGCTTCTGCAGAGAGATTGCCGAGGGGATGGCTCACTGAGAGAAGTTCAGTCGGTGAAGAAGGAAAAAGGCGTTGGTGTTTTTTGTTTCTTCTTCTTGGTGGGGAACAGCGGTGGATATGCAGGAACAAGTTGTAGTGCCTTATCCTATCGTTCTGGAGGAAGGATAATAAGATGGGGTTCAGAAAAGGGTTGGACCTCCTGCCGTGTTCTTGTGGAGGTCTGTGGTTGCCAGGGGTGAACAACCAACCAATGTACCTTTGTACCTGTGTCTCTGTGACCTCTACTTCCCACCTTCCAACAAAGCAGTAATAAGCGGGGAAGCAAAGAGAGAGCTTCCTGCTTAGTGTTGGCCAACCAAAAGACACGGCATCGCGAACCAGAAAAAAGGAAGGTGCAGTCATGCATTGAAACAGAAATTTTAAACATGCCCAGCTGAGGAAACCGTCGCTCGCTCTCTCCCTCTTCGGCCTCGTGTTTTTGTTTCCGGGACGGAGTAAGAAATGATATAATTGTCCCCTCCTTGCGAGTCCATCTCTCATCAAGCCTTTTTCCTCTCTTTCACCCTGCATCATGCTTCTCAGTCTTTTCGTTTTATCGAACTCTTATTACTATCCTGAGGAAGCTCGATGTCGGAGTTGTGTCAGTGAGAGCAAGGCCGGCGCAGACGCGCCGGATTGGGCCGACCCTACCCCACGCGCCGCGCCGCATGCCATTGCATGTCACCCAAGCCTAGCCAGGCTGGCTCACGCATCGCTGACGAGATTGCAATCTTACGCGATACGCGTCACAGTTGCGCTCGGCCTTCCTACTTGGAGCTCTCAAGCACCACATGGAGACGTAAAAGATCGAGAAAGGAAGGAAAAAAAAAAAAAAAAAAAAGAGATCGAATTAAACTATTCTCCGAGAAAAAGTTCATGCATTGTCACCTCATCTTTGGTTGTTATAAAACCTAACCCACTATCACCCGCCGTCCTTATTTCGCTTCACCAACATTGCAGCGTCGTCCCAACAGAGACTCGCTAATATTGCCCCTCAAGCAAGGCACGAAGTAAGAAGACGGGACGAGCGGTGGCATTTGCCGTCTACAACCGGCTCGCCCACATGACCGTCTTCGAGATATCATATCCAGCCTTGTAAAAGGGAGAAAATGATGGTTGAGCAAAGAAGTAGGGGAAAGAGGTGGACGGCATTGGGCAACAATGTCAAAGGAACCGGCTCCACCATCCTAAGCCAGCCTTGTTCCCCAACTTCTGCATAACCACAGCCAATTTTAGAGATTAAGGCTTGGCTGAAATACTACGGGGCCCCGAGACCCAGGAGGGCAAGGCATTTGCACGATACAAGAAAGCAAAGTAGACTGAGTAAAGATGATCAAGAGTTTCGATAAACATATGAAATATGGAGGACCGTCGATGCGAAGACGGATGACTAAACTAGGATATAAGGAAATATGACTTGACAAAAAATGAAAGGTGTGTGTGTGCTCTGAGTGCGAGTCTGTAAGTGTGAGAGTGTTTTGAGTTGTCGGTTGATGTTGCATGAGATGTTGGTTGCGGGTGTCGCGCATGTCGAAATGTCCGAACTGCCCAAACCCAAACTGTATAGCCAAAATGTGAAAAAAGGGTCGAGAAAAAAGTTACGACCCGAAGCGAAGAAATCGACAAACGCCAAAGGAAGAAAGTAACCCAACCCAGAAAGCTTCTCTGCCGGGGATATAGACATACAAACAAGAAGCCTCCCCATGCACATCAAGTTCCGACTGCGACAAAATGGACAGGAAATGCGGGGAGGGGAAAATGCCCAAGGCAAAGGTTGTGAAAAAGAGAAGAAAAAGAAGGGGGCATGACAAGCGCCCAGTGAAGAAACGGGATTTTTTCCAGTCGGAAACAAGTGATATCAAGCCCAAGCCGCGCGCCGCTATTGCCTTCCCCAGATAAATTTCAAGAAACCGTTTCCATACCAAGAGACATGACATCTATCGACCGATACCGTTCGAGTTCATCACGATTTGGCCCGGATCCATCTTCTCCCGCCATCGATAATCACGAAGGCGGGACAAAACAACGGCGGTAGGGTATCAATGACCCTAACCACAACTCCTTCCTGTCCCACGCCACCCTTACGAGTAGAAGTAAGGGCCGTCGTGGAACATGGTGTAGGAGCCATTGGCTCTCCGGGCACTGAGGCCGTGGGGATAATCGATGCGGTTGTGGCGTGGCGCAGGAGCGGTGTCAACGTCGGCCGGCCGCTTCCCGTTGCGGAGAGACTCTTCGTAAGGAGAGTCCTGGTACCGCCTCTTGGAGCCGGTGGGTACGAAGGGCTCAGGCTCGTCGTGAGGGTTGGGGTCGACAGCGATGATGTCAGCCTCAATGCGCGTCGTAGGGTTGTACGCCGCAGCCTTGCGAGGCGCAACAACAGAGTTATCCTGCTCGCTGTGGTTCAAGAGGTGGCTAATCGAAGGAAGCGTGTGGCTGGCCTTGGCGTCCTGCTCAGAGCGGAGAGGAGGAGGAGCAGGATATCCGTGAGACATCCTACGGCTATCCTCACGCTTCTCGGCGTGATGAGGCGAGGAGGAACAAAGCCGTTGGGCGCGCAACGGTCGTCGTAGCTGGTGGCAGAGCCAAACGATTGTGAGGCAGGTCGGCTTCCGTATCCATTGGGGTACGCCGTGGTGGGCGAGGCTGGCGGGGGCTGGGTGTTGTTGTACTGCTGGGGAGGAAGGTGAGGGGTGTTGTTTCCGAAACCGAGGTGCTGGCCACTGGGACCGTAACCAGGCGGCGGGGGTGCCGTAGGACCGGCAGGGTACGACTCGGCAACCGAGGGCCGGCGTTGGGGCGGGGCCGGGTAAGGAGTCCTGTTATGTTCGCTGGCGGCGCTCGACGATCGTTGCCGGTAGTCGTGGGGTTGCTGTCTCTCGGGAGTGCGGGCGCTGGGTCGGTGCGAGTAATCTTCCTCCTTCTTGAAGTCACCGCCGGAAGGCTTTCCATCCCTGCGACGCATGCGGACATCACGTCGTATCCTGACTCGGCAGCCCTGGTCGGCGACAGTTCGGCTGAGGGCGGTGCTCTCAGTGAGGCCGGGGAACTTCTTCGCGCTGTACACGTTGAAGGCCTGAGACTTGACCTCCATCCTCCAGTAGAAAGAGGCATTCATCGGTGAGTTCTTCGCCTCCGAAGCCTCGTCGTCAAAGTACTTCTCCTCCTTGGTCTCCTCGTAGAGGTTGAACGAAAGCTTGTAGCGGCCCTCGTGGCGGACTGAGAGATCGGGGAACAAGAAGTAATCGGCCTCTGCGGGTCGGTCGAGGTAGGCCATGCCCGAAACAGGCATACCAGTCAAAACAGGCGTGGCGGTAGCGGCGGGTGTCTGAACACGACCGTGGGCCATGGGCCTAGCGAGTTCGAGAGTCGCGAAGAGGAAGAAGTTGGCATTGTAGTTAAAAGTGATATCCTTGGGTTCATTGGGGTTGGAGCCCAGCTCGAAAATGCGCAACTCGACCACGGGGGAGGGTCAACCGGTCGACGATCAGCGGCCGCTATACAGTCATGTTAGTCACCCGCTCTTCAAACCTTTCAAGATCCAGATCAGTAGACCAAGATGGGTGGATGGATGGCTTACACTTGGAACCAGATCCGCAAGCACGGGCGCGTTCAGGCTGTTGCAAGACAGTCAATCGGTACTGAAGGGTTAGGCCGCCCTTTGTCTTTCGCTCCATGATAACGGGCCCATCCTCGGAGGGCTGGGAAACGATCTGGGTCGTCATGGTCGCTGAGGCACGTCGGCGGTCGGTTCTTTCGAACGAGGGCGAGGTATCCACGAGCAAGAGTTGATCCAGGTGGTCGGTCGATGGCAAGAGTTGTCCGTTGATTTCAACCGGTCGGGCGAGCGCGGGAGTCGTATACTTGAGAGCTCGTCTCGTTCGTTGGGTGTTCGGCTCGAGAGGGCTATGGAGAGAGTGAGAGAATGATTGCTGTTAACCTCGAGTCCCTAGGTGAATTCCCTCCTCTTTCTTGTCGGATTCGAACAATTCGGAGTCGAAAGGGAACGTGTCGAAAACAACCTTCAATCCGGTGGTTGTCTCGAAGGGTGGTCCGAAGTTCCTTGGTGGTGAAGAACGGGAAGGGTGGAGGGCAAAAGGAGGGCGAAAGAACGAAGGGCACTGGGAGGTTTTGTTGGGCCAGGAGATTGCAAGTCCACCCAGTACCACTTCCCCAGGTACGAGGAGGTGGGTACTCGGCTCTACTCCCTCTCGCGGGATGGGGGAGGGCAAGGAGGGTTAAGGGGGTACAAGCCCATGAAGGAGTACCGACCAGGGGTGGTTCGTTCCCCGACACTGTACGGATCTGGGATTCTGCTGACCTGGTGAAGGTACCGGCTGGGGGCAAGGGTTGGAACGCCCAGTACGACCCAGCACAGTACAAGGGTACAAAGGGGACATGACCAAAAGAGACCATGCCATCCACACAAAAGGACAATGGGTGGCGGCCGGGGAATAAGAGTCTGGGCGGTGGGACCCTACCCAGGTGATATTGCAAGAACCGTGAGAGGCACCACTTTGAACCAGGAACTTGCCGGGGTGGGTTCGAGCGATTGAGAAGGGGGGCGGCGCAGGGAGGTGGCGTGCGAAAGGAGCGCGAGGGATAAAATGGAGTGGTGTCCAACCCGGCCCAGGTGGTTTCCTCAAGAGTGCGCCAGCCTGTTGGTGGCCCCTTCATTGTTCTTCGCCAGTGCCTGTCCCCAATCCCCTCAACCCCCGCTTGTAATTTCTTTACAGGCTCGCTTGCGCACAAAACGGGTGCTGGGAAACAATAGTACACAGTGCTATTTATTGGGCTTTCTTTTCTAGGAAATCACTGAGAGAGCCATGGAGTCGAGTCAGACAAGGAGAAGGGAACAATCCATCAATGATGATTGCTCGATTCAAGACTTGCGCTTGTGAGAGGGCCAGGGCTATTGATGTTCAATGTTGTGTATGGTGTGCCCTTTTCTTCTCTGTTCTCCGCCGTGACATGCCCACGAAAACTGGAATGAAGAAGCCCGGCGCAGTCCCGGCACCACCTCCACTGCCATGAGAGGGCCACACGGATCCGAAAACGTGGACTTGGTCTCCCTCATGAAGGTGTTTTCATCAAGCGGGAAGGAGGGACAGGGCTGTTTCTTCAATCGCCCAACAGCAAACTTTGCCCGAAGCGCCTTCGCCCCCAATGACGGGGACCACTGCGATTATCTCTTTGTCACAATTAATCCATCGAGCCGCGAAAGGGGCAAGAAAGGAAAACCAGTTCAACTTTCCCCTTACCTTTCCTAATTTTTATTTTTATTTTCAAACGATCCCCTCTTGTCTTTATTCGTTGGTTCCGAGCACAGCGCTCGCTCTATTCAAAGGTCGGTCTTGGTACAACTCAGGGCGGCCCCCAGCCTCCAACCGCGCGATGCAACACACGCACTGTGGCAGCGACGTCGGCTGCTCTAGCCGCTGAGCAGAACCAAGGAATCAATGAGTGCCTCAATCGTCGCTAGCCCGAGTTAAGCTAAGCGAGGGTACTTGGGTGGGAGCATCGAGCGCCTCTCAAAGCCAAGCCTTTGTCGATAATGTTCTTTCTTTTCCTTGGGGAACAGAGCATGCCGTAATACCGCCAGCGGGCAAAAACACAATATTACGCGACGAGAAGAAAAGTCAACCATGCCTGTATGCAGTAGAAAGCATCGACGAACAAGGAAAAGGAAGACGATAAGAAAGCCAAGGTTTCGCCGCTTGCCGTTCACCGAATGTGAGAGGTCAAAATCTTGATCACCAAGGGACCCATGCCGTCGAAATGAGCAAAAGAATGCCCTGCGCGGCGACCCTTGAAGTCTAATTTTCTCTCAGCTGCTCACAGCCGACTTGCCTCACGGATCAAGGTCTTTGGCCGCGCGAGAACACAGGAGATTGGCCTGGCTTTGTCTTTGGAGAATCCTCCAAGCCCCGGCGCGGGGTGTATCAGCGGTCATAATGAAAAATAGAAGAAATGCGACCAACGAATTACGAGAAAGCGTCCCGGATGGGGGCTTCACGCCTGTGGGTGCAGGAACCGATGCACAATGAGGCGGCCACTAATTCCTCTCTCCGTCTTAGTGCCGGAGCGTGATTACCCCTTCGCGAGCGGCACCAGGGTAGGAAATTCAAGCGCATCAACGAAGGTTTATAATCCCTACGATATAGCTTCAAGCCTCATATAATATCATGATCTCATTCCTTTCCTTTCTCGTGTCTGGGTCTTCATCAAAGTCGAGAAGCGGATGTGGCAAGGCGTCGGACAGGACAGGTTTGAATATGTATGGATGATGTTGGACGGGGCATCTATTCCTCACAAATCAATGGGCTTCCCGAGTCCAACGGTGAGCAAGAGGACAACTGTGCAGAGCCTTTCAAGCTGAGCGAGACATTACACCATGTGGCACTGGCCCGGTGGAGCACGTCTGGGTGTCGAACTCCCTCCCTTGCGTGTGTCTCAGTACCCCACGAGTCGTCAAGATCAATGATGGCAGTGGTGACTCGTCAAGAAGGTGCCCAGTATCCGGGCCGCCTGGTGCTCCACGAATGTCGAGTTCAGTTCAGCTGTGAACTCTACATCTCCCAGAGGGATTAGACTTGTTAGCGCGAAACTCGCGAGGCAACGCTGACCAGGGTCTCTGAACAATGTACCATTTCCTATTAAAACCTGTGGGAGATACAACTGGCCGCAGCCTCGTGCCCCCGTCGATTATGTCATGAGCTAACAAGTCTGATCCCTGAATAGGTGTACACCAGAGGGATGAACTCCACCACGTCTACCGAGGTATCAAATGACGGCCTCGCGTCGTCAGGAATCGTCAAGCATTTCATGCAGGGTTTCTTCTTTTCCTTCCATCTACCCTTGTCAAACTCAGAGTCACCGGAAAAGAGGATGGAAAGGGGGTTGATTGATCGTGGCGCACGATACCTCCCCTGCCCTGCCCTCGTTCTCGATGCTAATGAGACCTCGGAAGACGGCAATCAATTACGAAGACGCGATCCGGGATTCGCGTCTCTAGCACGTCCCTCACCCGTCAAGCCTTTTTTCTTTCTCTTTCTTTTTCAGATGCTTTCCCCTTACTGCCAGCGAGAAATAGATGGGTCAAAATAGAGGTCCAAACGGGCAAGCTCTTTCAGGCGGCTGTTCGTCATTCTGGGGGTAAGAGGCCAGTAAGCGCAGGAACTTTTATTGAAAGACATTGATCCAACTGTGCCGTTATTGGTCTATAGACACAGTGTACATGGGCGTTCGTGCGACACAACATTGAAATCGCCACGAGAACGCCCGCAGGCGACGAACGAGCCCCCAATAGCCTTTGAGTGCAGCCATCCCGCCGACTCTGAAAGCCACGCATGGTGACCTTCCAATACCAAAAACCATGAAATGGCCATTTGCGGAGCCCATGGCGAAAGACAAATTGAGTTTGCGAGCTTCGAGGAAGGGTGAACGGCACTGAAGTCATAAACATTTGAAATGTGGATCGCCCCTCCCCCGTAGGAGTGTCACTATTTTTCTCAACCATGTCTATTCCTTAGTCAAGAACCAGCGCGAACCAGCGCGAAGTTAATTCGGACGGTATGGAAATATTAGGAAGAAAAAAAGAAGAAGAACAAAATAGGCTCTCCCCACGGTTCGAAGATCGGCCTAGACCGAGGATCTCCCTTGTTGCGGAGAGTCGAATGCCCGATGGGCCCGGGTGACGCAAAGAAGATCTTTTAGATTTTCCCTTTCCCCTCTCCTTCTTACTCGTGGATGTGCTTCTGACAATACACCGCATGACAGCCCGCACCCTTTTTTTCGAGCAGCAAGGGAGCGAGCTAGAGAACAAAAATGGCAAAAAGGAAAGAAAGAAAGAACGAAAGGTGGCCCCACTCAGGATACTACACCGCCCACAGGTGAAAAACCCACAACCCACACACAGCGGCCACACGGACCACCCTTGGTACTTGGGTGTTCAAAATGGGAGGCGCGGGTGAATTGGAAGTGACAAACCGGAGACTGTCCCAAGTCCCGTCTCCTCTGCTCTGGGACCTTGGGAAAAAGCAGGATTTGGAACCTGCTCTATTACCATGGACGTGGAGATGGGCACCACCAATTTGAGCATGTTCACGAGTGGAGAAGGACAAAAGCGGGCGAGTTCTGCGCGGCCGTCATGGTGTTTGCAGCATCCAAATTATCGATTGTAGGAGCCCACGGTTATCACCTTTTTTTTTTTTCTTCAGGTTCGAAAAGGAAGGAAGCGAAAGAAATGGGTTAATTAACTCCAGCTCGTAAGGAAATACACCAGGTGAGAGAGAGAGAGAGAGAGAGTGCCCTCGCTGACCATTGAACATTTGGTGGCTGGGCTAAGGCAAGAGGGCAGTGACTTTCGACTCCCAACCATCCAACGCAAAATGCTCATTGCATCGCATTACGCCAGCCCGGAGGCTTTTGTTCTTGGCTTTCCATCCTCCACTCTCCCCCAACATGCCCCTCTTCCCTTACGCCTGCTTCGCTTGTTCGACCGGTCATCACGTATTACAGCTGATGAAAGAATTGATTCGCTCGAAAGGAGGAGAGAAAATCCCCTCCTCATCAAGTAGTTGGTCGAAACTTTCTTGATCCTTCATCGATGGTGTGTTCCCTCCTTCTACTTTGCTTTTTTGGCTCTGTCGCGCTTCCTGTAAAAGGGAAGGGGAGGCGGGCTGGGCCTTTCCGACACACCCCTGTCAGAAGCCACACGGTCAGA